CGGTTGAGTTGTTTGAATCAAAGGTGGACTTGTTCCTGGTGCTCCAGCTTGAGTACCTGTAGTTGGGGTTGACGCTGTAGAAGGTGTTCCAGAGGTAATCAATGGAGACGATGTAGGTGTTGTGACTGGTTGTCCTGTGGTCACAGCTACAGAAAATATCACTATAATCACAGGCTTAGTACATTTATTTTAACACATAAATAACTGAATAAAATTGTCAATATCATCTTTACATTAAGATGTCGATTTTGTCCTCCACTAATGAAGCAAAAATATAATAATCAAGTAAAAGGGAACATATGGGATTGTTTTGCAGAGTTCAAATTCAAGTTTACATGAAAGTTGTTTTGTTGGTCATATATATGAAAATAAAAGAAAATCAATTTTGTCCGACCGCGCGCTTTTTTCAGTAGCCTTCATCATCAACGCTCAAACCTCAACATATTCAATCCATGTCTACAAGCAATCACAAATTAAGACATAACATTGATAGTTATATTCAATAAAAAAGGATTTAAAGATAAAATTGTTCATATTCTTTTGTCAATACATATGAATGAATATAATATGGCAAATATAAGATTGTATGCATTTTAACATATTGTTTATAATTCTATCGGGTTTTACGGAGCAGTGTATGAAATTTAATTGTTAGTTTGAATGTAAAGTACAACAAAATTAGTTACCTTTAATACAAGCCTCCACGGTGACACTTTTTACAACCGGAGTTGCATTAGGTGTTTGGTCAGGTATAATCGTCAATGTTATCTTGTCAGCCAACAGAGGTTTGATAAATTCCAGTTCTACGATGCCATTTGGTTGTGCCTGTTGAAATACATAGCCTTCTGTATGTATGAATATGTCGATTATGGAGTACTATATTGCATTGTATAGTGTCATAAAATGGGTATCTTTACCTTAAATGGTGTTACCAATATACACAGTGCTTAGTTTTGACAGACGACTATAGTCTTAATGCAACGTTTCATTACTAAAATATAATTGTAATCAAAGACTAAATGTTCATGTCTTTACGAAAAGAATCATAATCCCCTAAACAACGAAACTTGAGTACAATGTAACGTAATTTGTAAACATTCTTTGGTTATACTATAATTTCAGAACTGCTTTTCGTGCGTTTCGTAGTTAATAAATTGAAGTTGTCTTCTTTTTCATTAATATTACAATCAGATGATAATAATAAAATATCATACCTTGACAGTCTCCTCATAAACTAAAACGTTGTCATTATAAAGTTTGACAACAATACTGTCAACAGATTCTGTTTTTAGAGCAACATTCATTATCGGATTACTGTCACTTGTTGATAACTCTAAAACTGGCTTTTCGTCTTCAGCTGACGGTTTCCATCCTGAAGGTGTTAAAGCGTTTTCAGCACCATCTGGATTCGATGAAGAAGTCACAGTTTCAAAATTTAATGGGCCCTTTGGCGTATCGTCTGGACATTTTCCCAAACCTATAAATTCAAAAAGCAATAGTTTAAATTGGAATACAAGGAAAGTGAAGCCAAAGGATAATGCCAGTTTCCTTTCATTCTTCCTAAAAAAAACTCCTGTATACAGTCAGCCTCATATGATTAAAGATACAAGTCGGCAAAAAGAGCCGCACAGTTGGCTCCTATGGGAATGCCGATTGTTAGTTGAAATACACGTCTTCCAAACGTAACAATTATGTTGTCAATCAAGACATCAAACATCTCGATAATATCAGTTTCAGAGAATTGCTTGTTTGAATCAGAGTGATTTTTATTACAAAGTACGATTCATTCCTCCCTAAGAAAAGACACTTGTATCTATGTTGGCCTTTCTTTTTTATGAAACAAAATAGGATCAACTCTTTCTATTTTCCTTTTAGTTTGGAATGGGAAATACTTGTGTAAAGTATAGAAAATTAAGATATCTTAATACTATTTGCAAAACGAAATAGTCTTAGATTGTATGTTCTCTAACAGATCTTTAAACTTTTTTTAGCATCTGTATATGATTCACACCTACTCTAGAATATATAGTTTTACAGTAAATTTGAAGCCCGGCTTTGGTTGCTGAATAAATTGATGTTAATAATTTAGATAGATGTTTGGTGGAGTACTTGGAAGACCCAGTAATATAACGTTGTTTGAAAGGACACTTAAGGACGTTCCGCATCTTTGGTTGAAATTCAAAAGAAACATACAAAAGACCCTTTAATTATACAGGACGTCCTCCTTGGTTAGTGTCGTTGAGGGTAAATATTGAGTTTCCAAGTGAAATGTCAATCCCTAGTTCATTTATCAAGCAGTTTATGTAATGTGATTTACACATGGAACGATGTTCATTTGGGGCTTTATCTGCAGGACAACAACGTATTTGTCATGTAAAACAACAACGATAATGAATTTCAGATTTTCTGACTTCAAAAAAATACCTGCAGTTGTAGAAGCGGGTCCAGTGGTTACCGACGGTTCAGTTGTTTGAATCAAAGGTGGACTGGTTCCTGGTGCTCCAGCTTGAGTACCTGTAGTTGGGGTTGACGCTGTAGAAGGTGTTCCAGAGGTAATCACTGGAGACGATGTAGGTGTTGTGGCTGGTTGTCCTGTGGTCACAGCTACAGAAAACATCACTATCATCACAGGCTTAGTACATTTATTTTAACACATATATAACTGAATAAAGTTGTCAATATCATCTATACATTAAGATGTCGATTTTGTCCTCCACTAATGAAGCAAAAATATAATACTCAAGTAAAAGGGAACATATGGGATTGTTTTGCAGTGTTCAAATTCAAGATGACATGAAAGTTGTTTTGTTGGTCATATATATGAAAATAACAGAAAAACAATTTTGTCCGACCGAGCGCTTTTTTCAGTAGCCTTTATCATGAACGGTCAAACCTCAACATATTCAATCCATGTCTACAAGCAATCACAAATTAAGACATAACATTGATAGTTATATTCAATAAAAAAGGATTTAAAGATAAAATTGTTCATACTCTTTTGTAGATACATATGAATGAATATAATATGGCAAATATATTATTATATGCATTTTAACATATTGGTTATAATTCTATCGGGTTTTACGGAGCAGTTTATCAAATCTAATGGTTAATTTGAATGTACAGTACAACAAAATTAGTTACCTTTAATACAAGCCTCCACGGTGACACTTTTTACAACCGGAGTTGCATTAGGTGTTTGGTCAGGTATTATCGTCAATGTTATCTTGTCAGCCAACTGAGGTTTGATAAATTCCAGTTCTACGATGCCATTTGGTTGTGCCTGTTGAAATACATAGCCTTCTGAATGTATGAATGTGCCTATTATGGAGTACTATATTGCATTGTATAGTGTCATTTAATGGGTATCTTTACCTTAAATGGTGTTACCAATATACACAGTGCTTAGTATTGACAGACGACTATAGTCTTAATGCAACGTTTCATTACTAAAATATAATTGTAATCAAAGACTAAATGTTCATGTCTTTATGAAAAGAATCATAATCCCCTAAACAACGAAACTTGAGTACAATGTAACGTAATTTGTAAACATTCTTTGGTTATACTATAATTTCAGAACTGCTTTTCCTGCGTTTCGTAGTTAATAAATTGAAGTTGTCTTCTTTTTCATTAATATTACAATCAGATGATAATAATAAAATATCATACCTTGACAGTCTCCTCATAAACTAAAACGTTGTCATTATAAAGTTTGACAACAATACTGTCAACAGATTCTGTTTTTAGAGCAACATTCATTATCGGATTACTGTCACTTGTTGATAACTCTAAAACTGGCTTTTCGTCTTCAGCTGACGGTTTCCATCCTGAAGGTGTTAAAGCGTTTTCAGCACCATCTGGATTCGATGAAGAAGTCACAGTTTCAAAATTTAATGGGCCCTTTGTCGCATCGTCCGGACATTTTTCCAAACCTAAAAATTCAAAAAGCAATAGTATAAATTAGAATACAAGGAAAGTGAAGTCAATGGATAATGCCAGTTTCCTTTCATTTTACCAAAAAAAATCTCCTGTATACAGTCAGCCTCATATGATTAAAGATACAAGTCGGCAAAAAGAGCCGCACAGTTGGCTTCTATGGGAATGCCGATTGTTAGTTGAAATACACGTCTTCCAAACGTAACAATTATGTTGTCAATCAAGACATCAAACATCTCGATAATATCAGTTTCAGAGAATTGCTTGTTTGAATCAGAGTGATTCTTTTACAAAGTACGATTTATTCCTCCCTAAGTCAAGACACTTGTACCTATGTTGGCCTTTCTTTCTTATGAACAAAATAGGATCAACTCTTTTAATTTGCCTTTTAGTTTGGAATGGGAAATACTTGTGTAAAGTATAGAAAATTAAAATATCTTAATACTATTTGCAATACGAAATAGTCTTAGATTGTATGTTCTCTAACAGATCTTTAAACTTTTTTTAGCATCTGTATATGATTCACACCTACTCTAGAATAGGTAGTTTTACAATAAATTTGAAGCCTGGCTTTGGTTGCTGAATACATTGATGTTAATAATTTAGAAAGAGGTTTTGTGGAGTATTTGGAAGACCCAGTAATATAACGTTGTTTGTAAGGACACTTATTCAATTTAGGTATTTAATACAGTTAAGGAAGATCACGTTCCGCATCTTTGGTCGAAATTCAAAAGAAACATACAAAAGACCCTATAATTATACAATACGTCCTCCTTGGTTAGTGTCGTTGGGGTAAATGTTGAGTTTTCAAGTGAAATGTCAATCCCTAGTTCATTTATCAAGCAGTTTATGTAATGATATTTACACATAGAAACGATGTTCATTGGGGCTTTATCTGCAGGACAACAACGTATTTGTCATGTAAAACAACAACGATAATGAAATTCAGATTTTCTGACTTTAAAAAATACCTGCAGTTGTAGAAGCGGGTCCAGTGGTTACCGACGGTTGAGTTGTTTGAATCAAAGGTGGACTGGTTCCTGGTGCTCCAGCTTGAGTACCTGTAGTTGGGGTTGACGCTGTAGAAGGTGTTCCAGAGGTAATCACTGGAGACGATGTAGGTGTTGTGGCTGGTTGTCCTGTGGTCAGAGCTACAGAAAACATCACTGTCATCACAGGCTTAGTACATTTATTTTAACACATATATAACTGAATAAATTGTCAATATCATCTATACATTAGGATGTCGATTTTGTCCTCCACTAATGAAGCAAAAATATAATACTCAAGTAAAAGGGAACATATGGGATTGTTTTGCAGTGTTCAAATTCAAGATGACATGAAAGTTGTTTTGTTGGTCATATATATGAAAATAACAGAAAATCAATTTTGTCCGACCGAGCGCTTTTTTCAGTAGCCTTTATCATGAACGGTCAAACCTCAACATATTCAATCCATGTCTACAAGCAATCACAAATTAAGACATAACATTGATAGTTATATTCAATAAAAAAAGGATTTAAAGATAAAATTGTTCATACTCTTTTGTCAATACATATGAATGAATATAATATGGCAAATATAAGATTATATGCATTTTAACATTCTATCGTTTTTTACGGAGCAGTTTATCAAATCTAATGGTTAATTTGAATGTACAGTACAACAAAATTAGTTACCTTTAATACAAGCCTCCACGGTGACACTTTTTACAACCGGAGTTGCATTAGGTGTTTGGTCAGGTATTATCGTCAATGTTATCTTGTCAGCCAACTGAGGTTTGATAAATTCCAGTTCTACGATGCCATTTGGTTGTGCCTGTTGAAATACATAGCCTTCTGAATGTATGAATGTGCCTATTATGGAGTACTATATTGCATTGTATAGTGTCATTTAATGGGTATCTTTACCTTAAATGGTGTTACCAATATACACAGTGCTTAGTATTGACAGACGACTATAGTCTTAATGCAACGTTTCATTACTAAAATATAATTGTAATCAAAGACTAAATGTTCATGTCTTTACGAAAAGAATCATAATCCCCTAAACAACGAAACTTGAGTACAATGTAACGTAATTTGTGAACATTCTTTGGTTATACTATAATTTCAGAACTGCTTTTCGTGCGTTTCGTAGTTAATAAATTGAAGTTGTCTTCTTTTTCATTAATATTACAATCAGATGATAATAATAAAATATCATACCTTGACAGTCTCCTCATAAACTAAAACGTTGTCATTATAAAGTTTGACAACAATACTGTCAACAGATTCTGTTTTTAGAGCAACATTCATTATCGGATTACTGTCACTTGTTGATAACTCTAAAACTGGCTTTTCGTCTTCAGCTGACGGTTTCCATCCTGAAGGTGTTAAAGCGTTTTCAGCACCATCTGGATTCGATGAAGAAGTCACAGTTTCAAAATTTAATGGGCCCTTTGTCGCATCGTCCGGACATTTTTCCAAACCTAAAAATTCAAAAAGCAATAGTATAAATTAGAATACAAGGAAAGTGAAGTCAATGGATAATGCCAGTTTCCTTTCATTTTACCAAAAAAAACCTCCTGTATACAGTCAGCCTCATATGATTAAAGATACAAGTCGGCAAAAAGAGCCGCACAGTTGGCTTCTATGGGAATGCCGATTGTTAGTTGAAATACACGTCTTCCAAACGTAACAATTATGTTGTCAATCGAGACATCAAACATCTCGATAATATCAGTTTCAGAGAATTGCTTGTTTGAATCAGAGTGATTCTTTTACAAAGTACGATTTATTCCTCCCTAAGTCAAGACACTTGTACCTATGTTGGCCTTTCTTTCTTATGAACAAAATAGGATCAACTCTTTTAATTTGCCTTTTAGTTTGGAATGGGAAATACTTGTGTAAAGTATAGAAAATTAAAATATCTTAATACTATTTGCAATACGAAATAGTCTTAGATTGTATGTTCTCTAACAGATCTTTAAACTTTTTTTAGCATCTGTATATGATTCACACCTACTCTAGAATAGGTAGTTTTACAATAAATTTGAAACCTGGCTTTGGTTGCTGAATACATTGATGTTAATAATTTAGAAAGAGGTTTTGTGGAGTACTTGGAAGACCCAGTAATATAACGTTGTTTGTAAGGACACTTATTCAATTTAGGTATTTAATACAGTTAAGGAAGATCACGTTCCGCATCTTTGGTCGAAATTCAAAAGAAACATACAAAAAACCCTATAATTATACAATACGTCCTCCTTGGTTAGTGTCGTTGGGGTAAATGTTGAGTTTTCAAGTGAAATGTCAATCCCTAGTTCATTTATCAAGCAATTTATGTAATGATATTTACACATAGAAACGATGTTCATTGGGGCTTTATCTGCAGGACAACAACGTATTTGTCATGTAAAACAACAACGATAATGAAATTCAGATTTTCTGACTTTAAAAAATACCTGCAGTTGTAGAAGCGGGTCCAGTGGTTACCGACGGTTGAGTTGTTTGAATCAAAGGTGGACTGGTTCCTGGTGCTCCAGCTTGAGTACCTGTAGTTGGGGTTGACGCTGTAGAAGGTGTTCCAGAGGTAATCACTGGAGACGATGTAGGTGTTGTGGCTGGTTGTCCTGTGGTCAGAGCTACAGAAAACATCACTGTCATCACAGGCTTAGTACATTTATTTTAACACATATATAACTGAATAAATTGTCAATATCATCTATACATTAAGATGTCGATTTTGTCCTCCACTAATGAAGCAAAAATATAATACTCAAGTAAAAGGGAACATATGGGATTGTTTTGCAGTGTTCAAATTCAAGATGACATGAAAGTTGTTTTGTTGGTCATATATATGAAAATAACAGAAAATCAATTGTGTCCGACCGAGCGCTTTTTTCAGTAGCCTTTATTATGAACGGTCAAACCTCAACATATTCAATCCATGTCTACAAGCAATCACAAATTAAGACATAACATTGATAGTTATATTCAATAAAAAAAGGATTTAAAGATAAAATTGTTCATACTCTTTTGTCAATACATATGAATGAATATAATATGGCAAATATAAGATTATATGCATTTTAACATTCTATCGTTTTTTACGGAGCAGTTTATCAAATCTAATGGTTAATTTGAATGTACAGTACAACAAAATTAGTTACCTTTAATACAAGCCTCCACGGTGACACTTTTTACAACCGGAGTTGCATTAGGTGTTTGGTCAGGTATTATCGTCAATGTTATCTTGTCAGCCAACTGAGGTTTGATAAATTCCAGTTCTACGATGCCATTTGGTTGTGCCTGTTGAAATACATAGCCTTCTGAATGTATGAATGTGCCTATTATGGAGTACTATATTGCATTGTATAGTGTCATTTAATGGGTATCTTTACCTTAAATGGTGTTACCAATATACACAGTGCTTAGTATTGACAGACGACTATAGTCTTAATGCAACGTTTCATTACTAAAATATAATTGTAATCAAAGACTAAATGTTCATGTCTTTACGAAAAGAATCATAATCCCCTAAACAACGAAACTTGAGTACAATGTAACGTAATTTGTGAACATTCTTTGGTTATACTATAATTTCAGAACTGCTTTTCGTGCGTTTCGTAGTTAATAAATTGAAGTTGTCTTCTTTTTCATTAATATTACAATCAGATGATAATAATAAAATATCATACCTTGACAGTCTCCTCATAAACTAAAACGTTGTCATTATAAAGTTTGACAACAATACTGTCAACAGATTCTGTTTTTAGAGCAACATTCATTATCGGATTACTGTCACTTGTTGATAACTCTAAAACTGGCTTTTCGTCTTCAGCTGACGGTTTCCATCCTGAAGGTGTTAAAGCGTTTTCAGCACCATCTGGATTCGATGAAGAAGTCACAGTTTCAAAATTTAATGGGCCCTTTGTCGCATCGTCCGAACATTTTTCCAAACCTAAAAATTCAAAAAGCAATAGTATAAATTAGAATACAAGGAAAGTGAAGTCAATGGATAATGCCAGTTTCCTTTCATTTTACCAAAAAAAACCTCCTGTATACAGTCAGCCTCATATGATTAAAGATACAAGTCGGCAAAAAGAGCCGCACAGTTGGCTTCTATGGGAATGCCGATTGTTAGTTGAAATACACGTCTTCCAAACGTAACAATTATGTTGTCAATCGAGACATCAAACATCTCGATAATATCAGTTTCAGAGAATTGCTTGTTTGAATCAGAGTGATTCTTTTACAAAGTACGATTTATTCCTCCCTAAGTCAAGACACTTGTACCTATGTTGGCCTTTCTTTCTTATGAACAAAATAGGATCAACTCTTTTAATTTGCCTTTTAGTTTGGAATGGGAAATACTTGTGTAAAGTATAGAAAATTAAAATATCTTAATACTATTTGCAATACGAAATAGTCTTAGATTGTATGTTCTCTAACAGATCTTTAAACTTTTTTTAGCATCTGTATATGATTCACACCTACTCTAGAATAGGTAGTTTTACAATAAATTTGAAACCTGGCTTTGGTTGCTGAATACATTGATGTTAATAATTTAGAAAGAGGTTTTGTGGAGTACTTGGAAGACCCAGTAATATAACGTTGTTTGTAAGGACACTTATTCAATTTAGGTATTTAATACAGTTAAGGAAGATCACGTTCCGCATCTTTGGTCGAAATTCAAAAGAAACATACAAAAAACCCTATAATTATACAATACGTCCTCCTTGGTTAGTGTCGTTGGGGTAAATGTTGAGTTTTCAAGTGAAATGTCAATCCCTAGTTCATTTATCAAGCAATTTATGTAATGATATTTACACATAGAAACGATGTTCATTGGGGCTTTATCTGCAGGACAACAACGTATTTGTCATGTAAAACAACAACGATAATGAAATTCAGATTTTCTGACTTTAAAAAATACCTGCAGTTGTAGAAGCGGGTCCAGTGGTTACCGACGGTTGAGTTGTTTGAATCAAAGGTGGACTGGTTCCTGGTGCTCCAGCTTGAGTACCTGTAGTTGGGGTTGACGCTGTAGAAGGTGTTCCAGAGGTAATCACTGGAGACGATGTAGGTGTTGTGGCTGGTTGTCCTGTGGTCAGAGCTACAGAAAACATCACTGTCATCACAGGCTTAGTACATTTATTTTAACACATATATAACTGAATAAATTGTCAATATCATCTATACATTAAGATGTCGATTTTGTCCTCCACTAATGAAGCAAAAATATAATACTCAAGTAAAAGGGAACATATGGGATTGTTTTGCAGTGTTCAAATTCAAGATGACATGAAAGTTGTTTTGTTGGTCATATATATGAAAATAACAGAAAATCAATTGTGTCCGACCGAGCGCTTTTTTCAGTAGCCTTTATTATGAACGGTCAAACCTCAACATATTCAATCCATGTCTACAAGCAATCACAAATTAAGACATAACATTGATAGTTATATTCAATAAAAAAAGGATTTAAAGATAAAATTGTTCATACTCTTTTGTCAATACATATGAATGAATATAATATGGCAAATATAAGATTATATGCATTTTAACATTCTATCGTTTTTTACGGAGCAGTTTATCAAATCTAATGGTTAATTTGAATGTACAGTACAACAAAATTAGTTACCTTTAATACAAGCCTCCACGGTGACAGTTTTTACAACCGGAGTTGCATTAGGTGTTTGGTCAGGTATTATCGTCAATGTTATCTTGTCAGCCAACTGAGGTTTGATAAATTCCAGTTCTACGATGCCATTTGGTTGTGCCTGTTGAAATACATAGCCTTCTGAATGTATGAATGTGCCTATTATGGAGTACTATATTGCATTGTATAGTGTCATTTAATGGGTATCTTTACCTTAAATGGTGTTACCAATATACACAGTGCTTAGTATTGACAGACGACTATAGTCTTAATGCAACGTTTCATTACTAAAATATAACTGTAATCAAAGACTAAATGTTCATGTCTTTACGAAAAGAATCATAATCCCCTAAACAACGAAACTTGAGTACAATGTAACGTAATTTGTAAACATTCTTTGGTTATACTATAATTTCAGAACTGCTTTTCGTGCGTTTCGTAGTTAATAAATTGAAGTTGTCTTCTTTTTCATTAATATTACAATCAGATGATAATAATAAAATATCATACCTTGACAGTCTCCTCATAAACTAAAACGTTGTCATTATAAAGTTTGACAACAATACTGTCAACAGATTCTGTTTTTAGAGCAACATTCATTATCGGATTACTGTCACTTGTTGATAACTCTAAAACTGGCTTTTCGTCTTCAGCTGACGGTTTCCATCCTGAAAGTGTTAAAGCGTTTTCAGCACCATCTGGATTCGATGAAGAAGTCACAGTTTCAAAATTTAATGGGCCCTTTGTCGCATCGTCCGGACATTTTTCCAAACCTAAAAATTCAAAAAGCAATAGTATAAATTAGAATACAAGGAAAGTGAAGTCAATGGATAATGCCAGTTTCCTTTCATTTTACCCAAAAAAACCTCCTGTATACAGTCAGCCTCATATGATTAAAGATACAAGTCGGCAAAAAGAGCCGCACAATTGGCTTCTATGGGAATGCCGATTGTTAGTTGAAATACACGTCTTCCAAACGTAACAATTATGTTGTCAATCGAGACATCAAACATCTCGATAATATCAGTTTCAGAGAATTGCTTGTTTGAATCAGAGTGATTCTTTTACAAAGTACGATTTATTCCTCCCTAAGTCAAGACACTTGTACCTATGTTGGCCTTTCTTTCTTATGAACAAAATAGGATCAACTCTTTTAATTTGCCTTTTAGTTTGGAATGGGAAATACTTGTGTAAAGTATAGAAAATTAAAATATCTTAATACTATTTGCAATACGAAATAGTCTTAGATTGTATGTTCTCTAACAGATCTTTAAACTTTTTTTAGCATCTGTATATGATTCACACCTACTCTAGAATAGGTAGTTTTACAATAAATTTGAAGCCTGGCTTTGGTTGCTGAATACATTGATGTTAATAATTTAGAAAGAGGTTTTGTGGAGTACTTGGAAGACCCAGTAATATAACGTTGTTTGTAAGGACACTTATTCAATTTAGGTATTTAATACAGTTAAGGAAGATCACGTTCCGCATCTTTGGTCGAAATTCAAAAGAAACATACAAAAGACCCTATAATTATACAATACGTCCTCCTTGGTTAGTGTCGTTGGGGTAAATGTTGAGTTTTCAAGTGAAATGTCAATCCCTAGTTCATTTATCAAGCAGTTTATGTAATGATATTTACACATAGAAACGATGTTCATTGGGGCTTTATCTGCAGGACAACAACGTATTTGTCATGTAAAACAACAACGATAATGAAATTCAGATTTTCTGACTTTAAAAAATACCTGCAGTTGTAGAAGCGGGTCCAGTGGTTACCGACGGTTGAGTTGTTTGAATCAAAGGTGGACTTGTTCCTGGTGCTCCAGCTTGAGTACCTGTAGTTGGGGTTGACGCTGTAGAAGGTGTTCCAGAGGTAATCACTGGAGACGATGTAGGTGTTGTGGCTGGTTGTCCTGTGGTCACAGCTACAGAAAACATCACTGTCATCACAGGCTTAGTACATTTATTTTAACACATATATAACTGAATAAATTGTCAATATCATCTATACATTAAGATGTCGATTTTGTCCTCCACTAATGAAGCAAAAATATAATACTCAAGTAAAAGGGAACATATGGGATTGTTTTGCAGTGTTCAAATTCAAGATGACATGAAAGTTGTTTTGTTGGTCATATATATGAAAATAACAGAAAATCAATTTTGTCCGACCGAGCGCTTTTTTCAGTAGCCTTTATCATGAACGGTCAAACCTCAACATATTCAATCCATGTCTACAAGCAATCACAAATTAAGACATAACATTGATAGTTATATTCAATAAAAAAAGGATTTAAAGATAAAATTGTTCATACTCTTTTGTCAATACATATGAATGAATATAATATGGCAAATATAAGATTATATGCATTTTAACATTCTATCGTTTTTTACGGAGCAGTTTATCAAATCTAATGGTTAATTTGAATGTACAGTACAACAAAATTAGTTACCTTTAATACAAGCCTCCACGGTGACACTTTTTACAACCGGAGTTGCATTAGGTGTTTGGTCAGGTATTATCGTCAATGTTATCTTGTCAGCCAACTGAGGTTTGATAAATTCCAGTTCTACGATGCCATTTGGTTGTGCCTGTTGAAATACATAGCCTTCTGAATGTATGAATGTGCCTATTATGGAGTACTATATTGCATTGTATAGTGTCATTTAATGGGTATCTTTACCTTAAATGGTGTTACCAATATACACAGTGCTTAGTATTGACAGACGACTATAGTCTTAATGCAACGTTTCATTACTAAAATATAATTGTAATCAAAGACTAAATGTTCATGTCTTTACGAAAAGAATCATAATCCCCTAAACAACGAAACTTGAGTACAATGTAACGTAATTTGTAAACATTCTTTGGTTATACTATAATTTCAGAACTGCTTTTCCTGCGTTTCGTAGTTAATAAATTGAAGTTGTCTTCTTTTTCATTAATATTACAATCAGATGATAATAATAAAATATCATACCTTGACAGTCTCCTCATAAACTAAAACGTTGTCATTATAAAGTTTGACAACAATACTGTCAACAGATTCTGTTTTTAGAGCAACATTCATTATCGGATTACTGTCACTTGTTGATAACTCTAAAACTGGCTTTTCGTCTTCAGCTGACGGTTTCCATCCTGAAGGTGTTAAAGCGTTTTCAGCACCATCTGGATTCGATGAAGAAGTCACAGTTTCAAAATTTAATGGGCCCTTTGTCGCATCGTCCGGACATTTTTCCAGACCTAAAAATTCAAAAAGCAATAGTATAAATTAGAATACAAGGAAAGTGAAGTCAATGGATAATGCCAGTTTCCTTTCATTTTACCAAAAAAAACCTCCTGTATACAGTCAGCCTCATATGATTAAAGATACAAGTCGGCAAAAAGAGCCGCACAGTTGGCTTCTATGGGAATGCCGATTGTTAGTTGAAATACACGTCTTCCAAACGTAACAATTATGTTGTCAATCAAGACATCAAACATCTCGATAATATCAGTTTCAGAGAATTGCTTGTTTGAATCAGAGTGATTCTTTTACAAAGTACGATTTATTCCTCCCTAAGTCAAGACACTTGTACCTATGTTGGCCTTTCTTTCTTATGAACAAAATAGGATCAACTCTTTTAATTTGCCTTTTAGTTTGGAATGGGAAATACTTGTGTAAAGTATAGAAAATTAAAATATCTTAATACTATTTGCAATACGAAATAGTCTTAGATTGTATGTTCTCTAACAGATCTTTAAACTTTTTTTAGCATCTGTATATGATTCACACCTACTCTAGAATAGGTAGTTTTACAATAAATTTGAAGCCTGGCTTTGGTTGCTGAATACATTGATGTTAATAATTTAGAAAGAGGTTTTGTGGAGTACTTGGAAGACCCAGTAATATAACGTTGTTTGTAAGGACACTTATTCAATTTAGGTATTTAATACAGTTAAGGAAGATCACGTTCCGCATCTTTGGTCGAAATTCAAAAGAAACATACAAAAGACCCTATAATTATACAATACGTCCTCCTTGGTTAGTGTCGTTGGGGTAAATGTTGAGTTTTCAAGTGAAATGTCAATCCCTAGTTCATTTATCAAGCAGTTTATGTAATGATATTTACACATAGAAACGATGTTCATTGGGGCTTTATCTGCAGGACAACAACGTATTTGTCATGTAAAACAACAACGATAATGAAATTCAGATTTTCTGACTTTAAAAAATACCTGCAGTTGTAGAAGCGGGTCCAGTGGTTACCGACGGTTGAGTTGTTTGAATCAAAGGTGGACTTGTTCCTGGTGCTCCAGCTTGAGTACCTGTAGTTGGGGTTGACGCTGTAGAAGGTGTTCCAGAGGTAATCACTGGAGACGATGTAGGTGTTGTGGCTGGTTGTCCTGTGGTCAGAGCTACAGAAAACATCACTGTCATCACAGGCTTAGTACATTTATTTTAACACATATATAACTGAATAAATTGTCAATATCATCTATACATTAAGATGTCGATTTTGTCCTCCACTAATGAAGCAAAAATATAATACTCAAGTAAAAGGGAACATATGGGATTGTTTTGCAGTGTTCAAATTCAAGATGACATGAAAGTTGTTTTGTTGGTCATATATATGAAAATAACAGAAAATCAATTGTGTCCGACCGAGCGCTTTTTTCAGTAGCCTTTATCATGAACGGTCAAACCTCAACATATTCAATCCATGTCTACAAGCAATCACAAATTAAGACATAACATTGATAGTTATATTCAATAAAAAAAGGATTTAAAGATAAAATTGTTCATACTCTTTTGTCAATACATATGAATGAATATAATATGGCAAATATAAGATTATATGCATTTTAACATTCTATCGTTTTTTACGGAGCAGTTTATCAAATCTAATGGTTAATTTGAATGTACAGTACAACAAAATTAGTTACCTTTAATACAAGCCTCCACGGTGACAGTTTTTACAACCGGAGTTGCATTAGGTGTTTGGTCAGGTATTATCGTCAATGTTATCTTGTCAGCCAACTGAGGTTTGATAAATTCCAGTTCTACGATGCCATTTGGTTGTGCCTGTTGAAATACATAGCCTTCTGAATGTATGAATGTGCCTATTATGGAGTACTATATTGCATTGTATAGTGTCATTTAATGGGTATCTTTACCTTAAATGGTGTTACCAATATACACAGTGCTTAGTATTGACAGACGACTATAGTCTTAATGCAACGTTTCATTACTAAAATATAACTGTAATCAAAGACTAAATGTTCATGTCTTTACGAAAAGAATCATAATCCCCTAAACAACGAAACTTGAGTACAATGTTACGTAATTTGTAAACATTCTTTGGTTATACTATAATTTCAGAACTGCTTTTCCTGCGTTTCGTAGTTAATAAATTGAAGTTGTCTTCTTTTTCATTAATATTACAATCAGATGATAATAATAAAATATCATACCTTGACAGTCTCCTCATAAACTAAAACGTTGTCATTATAAAGTTTGACAACAATACTGTCAACAGATTCTGTTTTTAGAGCAACATTCATTATCGGATTACTGTCACTTGTTGATAACTCTAAAACTGGCTTTTCGTCTTCAGCTGACGGTTTCCATCCTGAAGGTGTTAAAGCGTTTTCAGCACCATCTGGATTCGATGAAGAAGTCACAGTTTCAAAATTTAATGGGCCCTTTGTCGCATCGTCCGGACATTTTTCCAAACCTAAAAATTCAAAAAGCAATAGTATAAATTAGAATACAAGGAAAGTGAAGTCAATGGATAATGCCAGTTTCCTTTCATTTTACCAAAAAAAACCTCCTGTATACAGTCAGCCTCATATGATTAAAGATACAAGTCGGCAAAAAGAGCCGCACAGTTGGCTTCTATGGGAATGCCGATTGTTAGTTGAAATACACGTCTTCCAAACGTAACAATTATGTTGTCAATCAAGACATCAAACATCTCGATAATATCAGTTTCAGAGAATTGCTTGTTTGAATCAGAGTGATTCTTTTACAAAGTACGATTTATTCCTCCCTAAGTCAAGACACTTGTACCTATGTTGGCCTTTCTTTCTTATGAACAAAATAGGATCAACTCTTTTAATTTGCCTTTTAGTTTGGAATGGGAAATACTTGTGTAAAGTATAGAAAATTAAAATATCTTAATACTATTTGCAATACGAAATAGTCTTAGATTGTATGTTCTCTAACAGATCTTTAAACTTTTTTTAGCATCTGTATATGATTCACACCTACTCTAGAATAGGTAGTTTTACAATAAATTTGAAGCCTGGCTTTGGTTGCTGAATACATTGATGTTAATAATTTAGAAAGAGGTTTTGTGGAGTACTTGGAAGACCCAGTAATATAACGTTGTTTGTAAGGACACTTATTCAATTTAGGTATTTAATACAGTTAAGGAAGATCACGTTCCGCATCTTTGGTCGAAATTCAAAAGAAACATACAAAAGACCCTATAATTATACAATACGTCCTCCTTGGTTAGTGTCGTTGGGGTAAATGTTGAGTTTTCAAGTGAAATGTCAATCCCTAGTTCATTTATCAAGCAGTTTATGTAATGATATTTACACATAGAAACGATGTTCATTGGGGCTTTATCTGCAGGACAACAACGTATTTGTCATGTAAAACAACAACGATAATGAAATTCAGATTTTCTGACTTTAAAAAATACCTGCAGTTGTAGAAGCGGGTCCAGTGGTTACCGACGGTTGAGTTGTTTGAATCAAAGGTGGACTTGTTCCTGGTGCTCCAGCTTGAGTACCTGTAGTTGGGGTTGACGCTGTAGAAGGTGTTCCAGAGGTAATCACTGGAGACGATGTAGGTGTTGTGGCTGGTTGTCCTGTGGTCAGAGCTACAGAAAACATCACTGTCATCACAGGCTTAGTACATTTATTTTAACACATATATAACTGAATAAATTGTCAATATCATCTATACATTAGGATGTCGATTTTGTCCTCCACTAATGAAGCAAAAATATAATACTCAAGTAAAAGGGAACATATGGGATTGTTTTGCAGTGTTCAAATTCAAGATGACATGAAAGTTGTTTTGTTGGTCATATATATGAAAATAACAGAAAATCAATTGTGTCCGACCGAGCGCTTTTTTCAGTAGCCTTTATCATGAACGGTCAAACCTCAACATATTCAATCCATGTCTACAAGCAATCACAAATTAAGACATAACATTGATAGTTATATTCAATAAAAAAAGGATTTAAAGATAAAATTGTTCATACTCTTTTGTCAATACATATGAATGAATATAATATGGCAAATATAAGATTATATGCATTTTAACATTCTATCGTTTTTTACGGAGCAGTTTATCAAATCTAATGGTTAATTTGAATGTACAGTACAACAAAATTAGTTACCTTTAATACAAGCCTCCACGGTGACACTTTTTACAACCGGAGTTGCATTAGGTGTTTGGTCAGGTATTATCGTCAATGTTATCTTGTCAGCCAACTGAGGTTTGATAAATTCCAGTTCTACGATGCCATTTGGTTGTGCCTGTTGAAATACATAGCCTTCTGAATGTATGAATGTGCCTATTATGGAGTACTATATTGCATTGTATAGTGTCATTTAATGGGTATCTTTACCTTAAATGGTGTTACCAATATACACAGTGCTTAGTATTGACAGACGACTATAGTCTTAATGCAACGTTTCATTACTAAAATATAATTGTAATCAAAGACTAAATGTTCATGTCTTTACGAAAAGAATCATAATCCCCTAAACAACGAAACTTGAGTACAATGTAACGTAATTTGTAAACATTCTTTGGTTATACTATAATTTCAGAACTGCTTTTCGTGCGTTTCGTAGTTAATAAATTGAAGTTGTCTTCTTTTTCATTAATATTACAATCAGATGATAATAATAAAATATCATACCTTGACAGTCTCCTCATAAACTAAAACGTTGTCATTATAAAGTTTGACAACAATACTGTCAACAGATTCTGTTTTTAGAGCAACATTCATTATCGGATTACTGTCACTTGTTGATAACTCTAAAACTGGCTTTTCGTCTTCAGCTGACGGTTTCCATCCTGAAGGTGTTAAAGCGTTTTCAGCACCATCTGGATTCGATGAAGAAGTCACAGTTTCAAAATTTAATGGGCCCTTTGTCGCATCGTCCGGACATTTTTCCAAACCTAAAAATTCAAAAAGCAATAGTATAAATTAGAATACAAGGAAAGTGAAGTCAATGGATAATGCCAGTTTCCTTTCATTTTACCCAAAAAAAACCTCCTGTATACAGTCAGCCTCATATGATTAAAGATACAAGTCGGCAAAAAGAGCCGCACAGTTGGCTTCTATGGGAATGCCGATTGTTAGTTGAAATACACGTCTTCCAAACGTAACAATTATGTTGTCAATCAAGACATCAAACATCTCGATAATATCAGTTTCAGAGAATTGCTTGTTTGAATCAGAGTGATTCTTTTACAAAGTACGATTTATTCCTCCCTAAGTCAAGACACTTGTACCTATGTTGGCCTTTCTTTCTTATAAACAAAATAGGATCAACTCTTTTAATTTGCCTTTTAGTTTGGAATGGGAAATACTTGTGTAAAGTATAGAAAATTAAAATATCTTAATACTATTTGCAATACGAAATAGTCTTAGATTGTATGTTCTCTAACAGATCTTTAAACTTTTTTTAGCATCTGTATATGATTCACACCTACTCTAGAATAGGTAGTTTTACAATAAATTTGAAGCCTGGCTTTGGTTGCTGAATACATTGATGTTAATAATTTAGAAAGAGGTTTTGTGGAGTACTTGGAAGACCCAGTAATATAACGTTGTTTGTAAGGACACTTATTCAATTTAGGTATTTAATACAGTTAAGGAAGATCACGTTCCGCATCTTTGGTCGAAATTCAAAAGAAACATACAAAAGACCCTATAATTATACAATACGTCCTCCTTGGTTAGTGTCGTTGGGGGTAAATGTTGAGTTTTCAAGTGAAATGTCAATCCCTAGTTCATTTATCAAGCAGTTTATGTAATGATATTTACACATAGAAACGATGTTCATTGGGGCTTTATCTGCAGGACAACAACGTATTTGTCATGTAAAACAACAACGATAATGAAATTCAGATTTTCTGACTTTAAAAAATACCTGCAGTTGTAGAAGCGGGTCCAGTGGTTACCGACGGTTGAGTTGTTTGAATCAAAGGTGGACTTGTTCCTGGTGCTCCAGCTTGAGTACCTGTAGTTGGGGTTGACGCTGTAGAAGGTGTTCCAGAGGTAATCACTGGAGACGATGTAGGTGTTGTGGCTGGTTGTCCTGTGGTCAGAGCTACAGAAAACATCACTGTCATCACAGGCTTAGTACATTTATTTTAACACATATATAACTGAATAAATTGTCAATATCATCTATACATTAAGATGTCGATTTTGTCCTCCACTAATGAAGCAAAAATATAATACTCAAGTAAAAGGAAACATATGGGATTGTTTTGCAGTGTTCAAATTCAAGATGACATGAAAGTTGTTTTGTTGGTCATATATATGAAAATAACAGAAAATCAATTGTGTCCGACCGAGCGCTTTTTTCAGTAGCCTTTATCATGAACGGTCAAACCTCAACATATTCAATCCATGTCTACAAGCAATCACAAATTAAGACATAACATTGATAGTTATATTCAATAAAAAAAGGATTTAAAGATAAAATTGTTCATACTCTTTTGTCAATACATATGAATGAATATAATATGGCAAATATAAGATTATATGCATTTTAACATTCTATCGTTTTTTACGGAGCAGTTTATCAAATCTAATGGTTAATTTGAATGTACAGTACAACAAAATTAGTTACCTTTAATACAAGCCTCCACGGTGACACTTTTTACAACCGGAGTTGCATTAGGTGTTTGGTCAGGTATTATCGTCAATGTTATCTTGTCAGCCAACTGAGGTTTGATAAATTCCAGTTCTACGATGCCATTTGGTTGTGCCTGTTGAAATACATAGCCTTCTGAATGTATGAATGTGCCTATTATGGAGTACTATATTGCATTGTATAGTGTCATTTAATGGGTATCTTTACCTTAAATGGTGTTACCAATATACACAGTGCTTAGTCGACTATAGTCTTAATGCAACGTTTCATTACTAAAATATAATTGTAATCAAAGACTAAATGTTCATGTCTTTACGAAAAGAATCATAATCCCCTAAACAACGAAACTTGAGTACAATGTAACGTAATTTGTAAACATTCTTTGGTTATACTATAATTTCAGAACTGCTTTTCCTGCGTTTCGTAGTTAATAAATTGAAGTTGTCTTCTTTTTCATTAATATTACAATCAGATGATAATAATAAAATATCATACCTTGACAGTCTCCTCATAAACTAAAACGTTGTCATTATAAAGTTTGACAACAATACTGTCAACAGATTCTGTTTTTAGAGCAACATTCATTATCGGATTACTGTCACTTGTTGATAACTCTAAAACTGGCTTTTCGTCTTCAGCTGACGGTTTCCATCCTGAAGGTGTTAAAGCGTTTTCAGCACCATCTGGATTCGATGAAGAAGTCACAGTTTCAAAATTTAATGGGCCCTTTGTCGCATCGTCCGGACATTTTTCCAAACCTAAAAATTCAAAAAGCAATAGTATAAATTAGAATACAAGGAAAGTGAAGTCAATGGATAATGCCAGTTTCCTTTCATTTTACCAAAAAAAACCTCCTGTATACAGTCAGCCTCATATGATTAAAGATACAAGTCGGCAAAAAGAGCCGCACAGTTGGCTTCTATGGGAATGCCGATTGTTAGTTGAAATACACGTCTTCCAAACGTAACAATTATGTTGTCAATCAAGACATCAAACATCTCGATAATATCAGTTTCAGAGAATTGCTTGTTTGAATCAGAGTGATTCTTTTACAAAGTACGATTTATTCCTCCCTAAGTCAAGACACTTGTACCTATGTTGGCCTTTCTTTCTTATGAACAAAATAGGATCAACTCTTTTAATTTGCCTTTTAGTTTGGAATGGGAAATACTTGTGTAAAGTATAGAAAATTAAAATATCTTAATACTATTTGCAATACGAAATAGTCTTAGATTGTATGTTCTCTAACAGATCTTTAAACTTTTTTTAGCATCTGTATATGATTCACACCTACTCTAGAATAGGTAGTTTTACAATAAATTTGAAGCCTGGCTTTGGTTGCTGAATACATTGATGTTAATAATTTAGAAAGAGGTTTTGTGGAGTACTTGGAAGACCCAGTAATATAACGTTGTTTGTAAGGACACTTATTCAATTTAGGTATTTAATACAGTTAAGGAAGATCACGTTCCGCATCTTTGGTCGAAATTCAAAAGAAACATACAAAAGACCCTATAATTATACAATACGTCCTCCTTGGTTAGTGTCGTTGGGGTAAATGTTGAGTTTTCAAGTGAAATGTCAATCCCTAGTTCATTTATCAAGCAGTTTATGTAATGATATTTACACATAGAAACGATGTTCATTGGGGCTTTATCTGCAGGACAACAACGTATTTGTCATGTAAAACAACAACGATAATGAAATTCAGATTTTCTGACTTTAAAAAATACCTGCAGTTGTAGAAGCGGGTCCAGTGGTTACCGACGGTTGAGTTGTTTGAATCAAAGGTGGACTTGTTCCTGGTGCTCCAGCTTGAGTACCTGTAGTTGGGGTTGACGCTGTAGAAGGTGTTCCAGAGGTAATCACTGGAGACGATGTAGGTGTTGTGGCTGGTTGTCCTGTGGTCAGAGCTACAGAAAACATCACTGTCATCACAGGCTTAGTACATTTATTTTAACACATATATAACTGAATAAATTGTCAATATCATCTATACATTAAGATGTCGATTTTGTCCTCCACTAATGAAGCAAAAATATAATACTCAAGTAAAAGGGAACATATGGGATTGTTTTGCAGTGTTCAAATTCAAGATGACATGAAAGTTGTTTTGTTGGTCATATATATGAAAATAACAGAAAATCAATTGTGTCCGACCGAGCGCTTTTTTCAGTAGCCTTTATCATGAACGGTCAAACCTCAACATATTCAATCCATGTCTTCAAGCAATCACAAATTAAGACATAACATTGATAGTTATATTCAATAAAAAAAGGATTTAAAGATAAAATTGTTCATACTCTTTTGTCAATACATATGAATGAATATAATATGGCAAATATAAGATTATATGCATTTTAACATTCTATCGTTTTTTACGGAGCAGTTTATCAAATCTAATGGTTAATTTGAATGTACAGTACAACAAAATTAGTTACCTTTAATACAAGCCTCCACGGTGACACTTTTTACAACCGGAGTTGCATTAGGTGTTTGGTCAGGTATTATCGTCAATGTTATCTTGTCAGCCAACTGAGGTTTGATAAATTCCAGTTCTACGATGCCATTTGGTTGTGCCTATTGAAATACATAGCCTTCTGAATGTATGAATGTGCCTATTATGGAGTACTATATTGCATTGTATAGTGTCATTTAATGGGTATCTTTACCTTAAATGGTGTTACCAATATACACAGTGCTTAGTATTGACAGACGACTATAGTCTTAATGCAACGTTTCATTACTAAAATATAATTGTAATCAAAGACTAAATGTTCATGTCTTTACGAAAAGAATCATAATCCCCTAAACAACGAAACTTGAGTACAATGTAACGTAATTTGTAAACATTCTTTGGTTATACTATAATTTCAGAACTGCTTTTCCTGCGTTTCGTAGTTAATAAATTGAAGTTGTCTTCTTTTTCATTAATATTACAATCAGATGATAATAATAAAATATCATACCTTGACAGTCTCCTCATAAACTAAAACGTTGTCATTATAAAGTTTGACAACAATACTGTCAACAGATTCTGTTTTTAGAGCAACATTCATTATCGGATTACTGTCACTTGTTGATAACTCTAAAACTGGCTTTTCGTCTTCAGCTGACGGTTTCCATCCTGAAGGTGTTAAAGCGTTTTCAGCACCATCTGGATTCGATGAAGAAGTCACAGTTTCAAAATTTAATGGGCCCTTTGTCGCATCGTCCGGACATTTTTCCAAACCTAAAAATTCAAAAAGCAATAGTATAAATTAGAATACAAGGAAAGTGAAGTCAATGGATAATGCCAGTTTCCTTTCATTTTACCCAAAAAAACCTCCTGTATACAGTCAGCCTCATATGATTAAAGATACAAGTCGGCAAAAAGAGCCGCACAGTTGGCTTCTTTGGGAATGCCGATTGTTAGTTGAAATACACGTCTTCCAAACGTAACAATTATGTTGTCAATCAAGACATCAAACATCTCGATAATATCAGTTTCAGAGAATTGCTTGTTTGAATCAGAGTGATTCTTTTACAAAGTACGATTTATTCCTCCCTAAGTCAAGACACTTGTACCTATGTTGGCCTTTCTTTCTTATGAACAAAATAGGATCAACTCTTTTAATTTGCCTTTTAGTTTGGAATGGGAAATACTTGTGTAAAGTATAGAAAATTAAAATATCTTAATACTATTTGCAATACGAAATAGTCTTAGATTGTATGTTCTCTAACAGATCTTTAAACTTTTTTTAGCATCTGTATATGATTCACACCTACTCTAGAATAGGTAGTTTTACAATAAATTTGAAGCCTGGCTTTGGTTGCTGAATACATTGATGTTAATAATTTAGAAAGAGGTTTTGTGGAGTACTTGGAAGACCCAGTAATATAACGTTGTTTGTAAGGACACTTATTCAATTTAGGTATTTAATACAGTTAAGGAAGATCACGTTCCGCATCTTTGGTCGAAATTCAAAAGAAACATACAAAAGACCCTATAATTATACAATACGTCCTCCTTGGTTAGTGTCGTTGGGGGTAAATGTTGAGTTTTCAAGTGAAATGTCAATCCCTAGTTCATTTATCAAGCAGTTTATGTAATGATATTTACACATAGAAACGATGTTCATTGGGGCTTTATCTGCAGGACAACAACGTATTTGTCATGTAAAACAACAACGATAATGAAATTCAGATGTTCTGACTTTAAAAAATACCTGCAGTTGTAGAAGCGGGTCCAGTGGTTACCGACGGTTGAGTTGTTTGAATCAAAGGTGGACTTGTTCCTGGTGCTCCAGCTTGAGTACCTGTAGTTGGGGTTGACGCTGTAGAAGGTGTTCCAGAGGTAATCACTGGAGACGATGTAGGTGTTGTGGCTGGTTGTCCTGTGGTCAGAGCTACAGAAAACATCACTGTCATCACAGGCTTAGTACATTTATTTTAACACATATATAACTGAATAAATTGTCAATATCATCTATACATTAAGATGTCGATTTTGTCCTCCACTAATGAAGCAAAAATATAATACTCAAGTAAAAGGGAACATATGGGATTGTTTTGCAGTGTTCAAATTCAAGATGACATGAAAGTTGTTTTGTTGGTCATATATATGAAAATAACAGAAAATCAATTGTGTCCGACCGAGCGCTTTTTTCAGTAGCCTTTATCATGAACGGTCAAACCTCAACATATTCAATCCATGTCTACAAGCAATCACAAATTAAGACATAACATTGATAGTTATATTCAATAAAAAAAGGATTTAAAGATAAAATTGTTCATACTCTTTTGTCAATACATATGAATGAATATAATATGGCAAATATAAGATTATATGCATTTTAACATTCTATCGTTTTTTACGGAGCAGTTTATCAAATCTAATGGTTAATTTGAATGTACAGTACAACAAAATTAGTTACCTTTAATACAAGCCTCCACGATGACACTTTTTACAACCGGAGTTGCATTAGGTGTTTGGTCAGGTATTATCGTCAATGTTATCTTGTCAGCCAACTGAGGTTTGATAAATTCCAGTTCTACGATGCCATTTGGTTGTGCCTGTTGAAATACATAGCCTTCTGAATGTATGAATGTGCCTATTATGGAGTACTATATTGCATTGTATAGTGTCATTTAATGGGTATCTTTACCTTAAATGGTGTTACCAATATACACAGTGCTTAGTCGACTATAGTCTTAATGCAACGTTTCATTACTAAAATATAATTGTAATCAAAGACTAAATGTTCATGTCTTTACGAAAAGAATCATAATCCCCTAAACAACGAAACTTGAGTACAATGTAACGTAATTTGTAAACATTCTTTGGTTATACTATAATTTCAGAACTGCTTTTCCTGCGTTTCGTAGTTAATAAATTGAAGTTGTCTTCTTTTTCATTAATATTACAATCAGATGATAATAATAAAATATCATACCTTGACAGTCTCCTCATAAACTAAAACGTTGTCATTATAAAGTTTGACAACAATACTGTCAACAGATTCTGTTTTTAGAGCAACATTCATTATCGGATTACTGTCACTTGTTGATAACTCTAAAACTGGCTTTTCGTCTTCAGCTGACGGTTTCCATCCTGAAGGTGTTAAAGCGTTTTCAGCACCATCTGGATTCGATGAAGAAGTCACAGTTTCAAAATTTAATGGGCCCTTTGTCGCATCGTCCGGACATTTTTCCAAACCTAAAAATTCAAAAAGCAATAGTATAAATTAGAATACAAGGAAAGTGAAGTCAATGGATAATTCCAGTTTCCTTTCATTTTACCAAAAAAAACCTCCTGTATACAGTCAGCCTCATATGATTAAAGATACAAGTCGGCAAAAAGAGCCGCACAGTTGGCTTCTATGGGAATGCCGATTGTTAGTTGAAATACACGTCTTCCAAACGTAACAATTATGTTGTCAATCAAGACATCAAACATCTCGATAATATCAGTTTCAGAGAATTGCTTGTTTGAATCAGAGTGATTCTTTTACAAAGTACGATTTATTCCTCCCTAAGTCAAGACACTTGTACCTATGTTGGCCTTTCTTTCTTATGAACAAAATAGGATCAACTTTTTTAATTTGCCTTTTAGTTTGGAATGGGAAATACTTGTGTAAAGTATAGAAAATTAAAATATCTTAATACTATTTGCAATACGAAATAGTCTTAGATTGTATGTTCTCTAACAGATCTTTAAACTTTTTTTAGCATCTGTATATGATTCACACCTACTCTAGAATAGGTAGTTTTACAATAAATTTGAAGCCTGGCTTTGGTTGCTGAATACATTGATGTTAATAATTTAGAAAGAGGTTTTGTGGAGTACTTGGAAGACCCAGTAATATAACGTTGTTTGTAAGGACACTTATTCAATTTAGGTATTTAATACAGTTAAGGAAGATCACGTTCCGCATCTTTGGTCGAAATTCAAAAGAAACATACAAAAGACCCTATAATTATACAATACGTCCTCCTTGGTTAGTGTCGTTGGGGTAAATGTTGAGTTTTCAAGTGAAATGTCAATCCCTAGTTCATTTATCAAGCAGTTTATGTAATGATATTTACACATAGAAACGATGTTCATTGGGGCTTTATCTGCAGGACAACAACGTATTTGTCATGTAAAACAACAACGATAATGAAATTCAGATTTTCTGACTTTAAAAAATACCTGCAGTTGTAGAAGCGGGTCCAGTGGTTACCGACGGTTGAGTTGTTTGAATCAAAGGTGGACTTGTTCCTGGTGCTCCAGCTTGAGTACCTGTAGTTGGGGTTGACGCTGTAGAAGGTGTTCCAGAGGTAATCACTGGAGACGATGTAGGTGTTGTGGCTGGTTGTCCTGTGGTCAGAGCTACAGAAAACATCACTGTCATCACAGGCTTAGTACATTTATTTTAACACATATATAACTGAATAAATTGTCAATATCATCTATACATTAAGATGTCGATTTTGTCCTCCACTAATGAAGCAAAAATATAATACTCAAGTAAAAGGGAACATATGGGATTGTTTTGCAGTGTTCAAATTCAAGATGACATGAAAGTTGTTTTGTTGGTCATATATATGAAAATAACAGAAAATCAATTGTGTCCGACCGAGCGCTTTTTTCAGTAGCCTTTATCATGAACGGTCAAACCTCAACATATTCAATCCATGTCTACAAGCAATCACAAATTAAGACATAACATTGATAGTTATATTCAATAAAAAAAGGATTTAAAGATAAAATTGTTCATACTCTTTTGTCAATACATATGAATGAATATAATATGGCAAATATAAGATTATATGCATTTTAACATTCTATCGTTTTTACGGAGCAGTTTATCAAATCTAATGGTTAATTTGAATGTACAGTACAACAAAATTAGTTACCTTTAATACAAGCCTCCACGGTGACACTTTTTACAACCGGAGTTGCATTAGGTGTTTGGTCAGGTATTATCGTCAATGTTATCTTGTCAGCCAACTGAGGTTTGATAAATTCCAGTTCTACGATGCCATTTGGTTGTGCCTGTTGAAATACATAGCCTTCTGAATGTATGAATGTGCTTATTATGGAGTACTATATTGCATTGTATAGTGTCATTTAATGGGTATCTTTACCTTAAATGGTGTTACCAATATACACAGTGCTTAGTATTGACAGACGACTATAGTCTTAATGCAACGTTTCATTACTAAAATATAATTGTAATCAAAGACTAAATGTTCATGTCTTGACGAAAAGAATCATAATCCCCTAAACAACGAAACTTGAGTACAATGTAACGTAATTTGTAAACATTCTTTGGTTAAACTATAATTTCAGAACTGCTTTTCCTGCGTTTCGTAGTTAATAAATTGAAGTTGTCTTCTTTTTCATTAATATTACAATCAGATGATAATAATAAAATATCATACCTTGACAGTCTCCTCATAAACTAAAACGTTGTCATTATAAAGTTTGACAACAATACTGTCAACAGATTCTGTTTTTAGAGCAACATTCATTATCGGATTACTGTCACTTGTTGATAACTCTAAAACTGGCTTTTCGTCTTCAGCTGACGGTTTCCATCCTGAAGGTGTTAAAGCGTTTTCAGCACCATCTGGATTCGATGAAGAAGTCACAGTTTCAAAATTTAATGGGCCCTTTGTCGCATCGTCCGGACATTTTTCCAAACCTAAAAATTCAAAAAGCAATAGTATAAATTAGAATACAAGGAAAGTGAAGTCAATGGATAATGCCAGTTTCCTTTCATTTTACCAAAAAAAACCTCCTGTATACAGTCAGCCTCATATGATTAAAGATACAAGTCGGCAAAAAGAGCCGCACAGTTGGCTTCTATGGGAATGCCGATTGTTAGTTGAAATACACGTCTTCCAAACGTAACAATTATGTTGTCAATCAAGACATCAAACATCTCGATAATATCAGTTTCAGAGAATTGCTTGTTTGAATCAGAGTGATTCTTTTACAAAGTACGATTTATTCCTCCCTAAGTCAAAACACTTGTACCTATGTTGGCCTTTCTTTCTTATGAACAAAATAGGATCAACTCTTTTAATTTGCCTTTTAGTTTGGAATGGGAAATACTTGTGTAAAGTATAGAAAATTAAAATATCTTAATACTATTTGCAATACGAAATAGTCTTAGATTGTATGTTCTCTAACAGATCTTTAAACTTTTTTTAGCATCTGTATATGATTCACACCTACTCTAGAATAGGTAGTTTTACAATAAATTTGAAGCCTGGCTTTGGTTGCTGAATACATTGATGTTAATAATTTAGAAAGAGGTTTTGTGGAGTACTTGGAAGACCCAGTAATATAACGTTGTTTGTAAGGACACTTATTCAATTTAGGTATTTAATACAGTTAAGGAAGATCACGTTCCGCATCTTTGGTCGAAATTCAAAAGAAACATACAAAAGACCCTATAATTATACAATACGTCCTCCTTGGTTAGTGTCGTTGGGGTAAATGTTGAGTTTTCAAGTGAAATGTCAATCCCTAGTTCATTTATCAAGCAGTTTATGTAATGATATTTACACATAGAAACGATGTTCATTGGGGCTTTATCTGCAGGACAACAACGTATTTGTCATGTAAAACAACAACGATAATGAAATTCAGATTTTCTGACTTTAAAAAATACCTGCAGTTGTAGAAGCGGGTCCAGTGGTTACCGACGGTTGCGTTGTTTGAATCAAAGGTGGACTTGTTCCTGGTGCTCCAGCTTGAGTACCTGTAGTTGGGGTTGACGCTGTAGAAGGTGTTCCAGAGGTAATCACTGGAGACGATGTAGGTGTTGTGGCTGGTTGTCCTGTGGTCAGAGCTACAGAAAACATCACTGTCATCACAGGCTTAGTACATTTATTTTAACACATATATAACTGAATAAATTGTCAATATCATCTATACATTAAGATGTCGATTTTGTCCTCCACTAATGAAGCAAAAATATAATACTCAAGTAAAAGGGAACATATGGGATTGTTTTGCAGTGTTCAAATTCAAGATGACATGAAAGTTGTTTTGTTGGTCATATATATGAAAATAACAGAAAATCAATTGTGTCCGACCGAGCGCTTTTTTCAGTAGCCTTTATCATGAACGGTCAAACCTCAACATATTCAATCCATGTCTACAAGCAATCACAAATTAAGACATAACATTGATAGTTATATTCAATAAAAAAAGGATTTAAAGATAAAATTGTTCATACTCTTTTGTCAATACATATGAATGAATATAATATGGCAAATATAAGATTATATGCATTTTAACATTCTATCGTTTTTTACGGAGCAGTTTATCAAATCTAATGGTTAATTTGAATGTACAGTACAACAAAATTAGTTACCTTTAATACAAGCCTCCACGGTGACACTTTTTACAACCGGAGTTGCATTAGGTGTTTGGTCAGGTATTATCGTCAATGTTATCTTGTCAGCCAACTGAGGTTTGATAAATTCCAGTTCTACGATGCCATTTGGTTGTGCCTGTTGAAATACATAGCCTTCTGAATGTATGAATGTGCCTATTATGGAGTACTATATTGCATTGTATAGTGTCATTTAATGGGTATCTTTACCTTAAATGGTGTTACCAATATACACAGTGCTTAGTATTGACAGACGACTATAGTCTTAATGCAACGTTTCATTACTAAAATATAATTGTAATCAAAGACTAAATGTTCATGTCTTTACGAAAAGAATCATAATCCCCTAAACAACGAAACTCGAGTACAATGTAACGTAATTTGTAAACATTCTTTGGTTATACTATAATTTCAGAACTGCTTTTCCTGCGTTTCGTAGTTAATAAATTGAAGTTGTCTTCTTTTTCATTAATATTACAATCAGATGATAATAATAAAATATCATACCTTGACAGTCTCCTCATAAACTAAAACGTTGTCATTATAAAGTTTGACAACAATACTGTCAACAGATTCTGTTTTTAGAGCAACATTCATTATCGGATTACTGTCACTTGTTGATAACTCTAAAACTGGCTTTTCGTCTTCAGCTGACGGTTTCCATCCTGAAGGTGTTAAAGCGTTTTCAGCACCATCTGGATTCGATGAAGAAGTCACAGTTTCAAAATTTAATGGGCCCTTTGTCGCATCGTCCGGACATTTTTCCAAACCTAAAAATTCAAAAAGCAATAGTATAAATTAGAATACAAGGAAAGTGAAGTCAATGGATAATGCCAGTTTCCTTTCATTTTACCCAAAAAAACCTCCTGTATACAGTCAGCCTCATATGATTAAAGATACAAGTCGGCAAAAAGAGCCGCACAGTTGGCTTCTATGGGAATGCCGATTGTTAGTTGAAATACACGTCTTCCAAACGTAACAATTATGTTGTCAATCAAGACATCAAACATCTCGATAATATCAGTTTCAGAGAATTGCTTGTTTGAATCAGAGTGATTCTTTTACAAAGTACGATTTATTCCTCCCTAAGTCAAGACACTTGTACCTATGTTGGCCTTTCTTTCTTATGAACAAAATAGGATCAACTCTTTTAATTTGCCTTTTAGTTTGGAATGGGAAATACTTGTGTAAAGTATAGAAAATTAAAATATCTTAATACTATTTGCAATACGAAATAATCTTAGATTGTATGTTCTCTAACAGATCTTTAAACTTTTTTTAGCATCTGTATATGATTCACACCTACTCTAGAATAGGTAGTTTTACAATAAATTTGAAGCCTGGCTTTGGTTGCTGAATACATTGATGTTAATAATTTAGAAAGAGGTTTTGTGGAGTACTTGGAAGACCCAGTAATATAACGTTGTTTGTAAGGACACTTATTCAATTTAGGTATTTAATACAGTTAAGGAAGATCACGTTCCGCATCTTTGGTCGAAATTCAAAAGAAACATACACAAGACCCTATAATTATACAATACGTCCTCCTTGGTTAGTGTCGTTGGGGTAAATGTTGAGTTTTCAAGTGAAATGTCAATCCCTAGTTCATTTATCAAGCAGTTTATGTAATGATATTTACACATAGAAACGATGTTCATTGGGGCTTTATCTGCAGGACAACAACGTATTTGTCATGTAAAACAACAACGATAATGAAATTCAGATTTTCTGACTTTAAAAAATACCTGCAGTTGTAGAAGCGGGTCCAGTGGTTACCGACGGTTGAGTTGTTTGAATCAAAGGTGGACTTGTTCCTGGTGCTCCAGCTTGAGTACCTGTAGTTGGGGTTGACGCTGTAGAAGGTGTTCCAGAGGTAATCACTGGAGACGATGTAGGTGTTGTGGCTGGTTGTCCTGTGGTCAGAGCTACAGAAAACATCACTGTCATCACAGGCTTAGTACATTTATTTTAACACATATATAACTGAATAAATTGTCAATATCATCTATACATTAAGATGTCGATTTTGTCCTCCACTAATGAAGCAAAAATATAATACTCAAGTAAAAGGGAACATATGGGATTGTTTTGCAGTGTTCAAATTCAAGATGACATGAAAGTTGTTTTGTTGGTCATATATATGAAAATAACAGAAAATCAATTGTGTCCGACCGAGCGCTTTTTTCAGTAGCCTTTATCATGAACGGTCAAACCTCAACATATTCAATCCATGTCTACAAGCAATCACAAATTAAGACATAACATTGATAGTTATATTCAATAAAAAAAGGATTTAAAGATAAAATTGTTCATACTCTTTTGTCAATACATATGAATGAATATAATATGGCAAATATAAGATTATATGCATTTTAACATTCTATCGTTTTTTACGGAGCAGTTTATCAAATCTAATGGTTAATTTGAATGTACAGTACAACAAAATTAGTTACCTTTAATACAAGCCTCCACGGTGACACTTTTTACAACCGGAGTTGCATTAGGTGTTTGGTCAGGTATTATCGTCAATGTTATCTTGTCAGCCAACTGAGGTTTGATAAATTCCAGTTCTACGATGCCATTTGGTTGTGCCTGTTGAAATACATAGCCTTCTGAATGTATGAATGTGCCTATTATGGAGTACTATATTGCATTGTATAGTGTCATTTAATGGGTATCTTTACCTTAAATGGTGTTACCAATATACACAGTGCTTAGTATTGACAGACGACTATAGTCTTAATGCAACGTTTCATTACTAAAATATAATTGTAATCAAAGACTAAATGTTCATGTCTTTACGAAAAGAATCATAATCCCCTAAACAACGAAACTTGAGTACAATGTAACGTAATTTGTAAACATTCTTTGGTTATACTATAATTTCAGAACTGCTTTTCCTGCGTTTCGTAGTTAATAAATTGAAGTTGTCTTCTTTTTCATTAATATTACAATCAGATGATAATAATAAAATATCATACCTTGACAGTCTCCTCATAAACTAAAACGTTGTCATTATAAAGTTTGACAACAATACTGTCAACAGATTCTGTTTTTAGAGCAACATTCATAATCGGATTACTGTCACTTGTTGATAACTCTAAAACTGGCTTTTCGTCTTCAGCTGACGGTTTCCATCCTGAAGGTGTTAAAGCGTTTTCAGCACCATCTGGATTCGATGAAGAAGTCACAGTTTCAAAATTTAATGGGCCCTTTGTCGCATCGTCCGGACATTTTTCCAAACCTAAAAATTCAAAAAGCAATAGTATAAATTAGAATACAAGGAAAGTGAAGTCAATGGATAATGCCAGTTTCCTTTCATTTTACCCAAAAAAACCTCCTGTATACAGTCAGCCTCATATGATTAAAGATACAAGTCGGCAAAAAGAGCCGCACAGTTGGCTTCTATGGGAATGCCGATTGTTAGTTGAAATACACGTCTTCCAAACGTAACAATTATGTTGTCAATCAAGACATCAAACATCTCGATAATATCAGTTTCAGAGAATTGCTTGTTTGAATCAGAGTGATTCTTTTACAAAGTACGATTTATTCCTCCCTAAGTCAAGACACTTGTACCTATGTTGGCCTTTCTTTCTTATGAACAAAATAGGATCAACTCTTTTAATTTGCCTTTTAGTTTGGAATGGGAAATACTTGTGTAAAGTATAGAAAATTAAAATATCTTAATACTATTTGCAATACGAAATAGTCTTAGATTGTATGTTCTCTAACAGATCTTTAAACTTTTTTTAGAATCTGTATATGATTCACACCTACTCTAGAATAGGTAGTTTTACAATAAATTTGAAGCCTGGCTTTGGTTGCTGAATACATTGATGTTAATAATTTAGAAAGAGGTTTTGTGGAGTACTTGGAAGACCCAGTAATATAACGTTGTTTGTAAGGACACTTATTCAATTTAGGTATTTAATACAGTTAAGGAAGATCACGTTCCGCATCTTTGGTCGAAATTCAAAAGAAACATACAAAAGACCCTATAATTATACAATACGTCCTCCTTGGTTAGTGTCGTTGGGGTAAATGTTGAGTTTTCAAGTGAAATGTCAATCCCTAGTTCATTTATCAAGCAGTTTATGTAATGATATTTACACATAGAAACGATGTTCATTGGGGCTTTATCTGCAGGACAACAACGTATTTGTCATGTAAAACAACAACGATAATGAAATTCAGATTTTCTGACTTTAAAAAATACCTGCAGTTGTAGAAGCGGGTCCAGTGGTTACCGACGGTTGAGTTGTTTGAATCAAAGGTGGACTTGTTCCTGGTGCTCCAGCTTGAGTACCTGTAGTTGGGGTTGACGCTGTAGAAGGTGTTCCAGAGGTAATCACTGGAGACGATGTAGGTGTTGTGGCTGGTTGTCCTGTGGTCAGAGCTACAGAAAACATCACTGTCATCACAGGCTTAGTACATTTATTTTAACACATATATAACTGAATAAATTGTCAATATCATCTATACATTAAGATGTCGATTTTGTCCTCCACTAATGAAGCAAAAATATAATACTCAAGTAAAAGGGAACATATGGGATTGTTTTGCAGTGTTCAAATTCAAGATGACATGAAAGTTGTTTTGTTGGTCATATATATGAAAATAACAGAAAATCAATTGTGTCCGACCGAGCGCTTTTTTCAGTAGCCTTTATCATGAACGGTCAAACCTCAACATATTCAATCCATGTCTACAAGCAATCACAAATTAAGACATAACATTGATAGTTATATTCAATAAAAAAAGGATTTAAAGATAAAATTGTTCATACTCTTTTGTCAATACATATGAATGAATATAATATGGCAAATATAAGATTATATGCATTTTAACATTCTATCGTTTTTTACGGAGCAGTTTATCAAATCTAATGGTTAATTTGAATGTACAGTACAACAAAATTAGTTACCTTTAATACAAGCCTCCACGGTGACACTTTTTACAACCGGAGTTGCATTAGGTGTTTGGTCAGGTATTATCGTCAATGTTATCTTGTCAGCCAACTGAGGTTTGATAAATTCCAGTTCTACGATGCCATTTGGTTGTGCCTGTTGAAATACATAGCCTTCTGAATGTATGAATGTGCCTATTATGGAGTACTATATTGCATTGTATAGTGTCATTTAATGGGTATCTTTACCTTAAATGGTGTTACAAATATACACAGTGCTTAGTATTGACAGACGACTATAGTCTTAATGCAACGTTTCATTACTAAAATATAATTGTAATCAAAGACTAAATGTTCATGTCTTTACGAAAAGAATCATAATCCCCTAAACAACGAAACTTGAGTACAATGTAACGTAATTTGTAAACATTCTTTGGTTATACTATAATTTCAGAACTGCTTTTCCTGCGTTTCGTAGTTAATAAATTGAAGTTGTCTTCTTTTTCATTAATATTACAATCAGATGATAATAATAAAATATCATACCTTGACAGTCTCCTCATAAACTAAAACGTTGTCATTATAAAGTTTGACAACAATACTGTCAACAGATTCTGTTTTTAGAGCAACATTCATTATCGGATTACTGTCACTTGTTGATAACTCTAAAACTGGCTTTTCGTCTTCAGCTGACGGTTTCCATCCTGAAGGTGTTAAAGCGTTTTCAGCACCATCTGGATTCGATGAAGAAGTCACAGTTTCAAAATTTAATGGGCCCTTTGTCGCATCGTCCGGACATTTTTCCAGAGCTAAAAATTCAAAAAGCAATAGTATAAATTAGAATACAAGGAAAGTGAAGTCAATGGATAATGCCAGTTTCCTTTCATTTTACCAAAAAAAACCTCCTGTATACAGTCAGCCTCATATGATTAAAGATACAAGTCGGCAAAAAGAGCCGCACAGTTGGCTTCTATGGGAATGCCGATTGTTAGTTGAAATACACGTCTTCCAAACGTAACAATTATGTTGTCAATCAAGACATCAAACATCTCGATAATATCAGTTTCAGAGAATTGCTTGTTTGAATCAGAGTGATTCTTTTACAAAGTACGATTTATTCCTCCCTAAGTCAAGACACTTGTACCTATGTTGGCCTTTCTTTCTTATGAACAAAATAGGATCAACTCTTTTAATTTGCCTTTTAGTTTGGAATGGGAAATACTTGTGTAAAGTATAGAAAATTAAAATATCTTAATACTATTTGCAATACGAAATAGTCTTAGATTGTATGTTCTCTAACAGATCTTTAAACTTTTTTTAGCATCTGTATATGATTCACACCTACTCTAGAATAGGTAGTTTTACAATAAATTTGAAGCCTGGCTTTGGTTGCTGAATACATTGATGTTAATAATTTAGAAAGAGGTTTTGTGGAGTACTTGGAAGACCCAGTAATATAACGTTGTTTGTAAGGACACTTATTCAATTTAGGTATTTAATACAGTTAAGGAAGATCACGTTCCGCATCTTTGGTCGAAATTCAAAAGAAACATACAAAAGACCCTATAATTATACAATACGTCCTCCTTGGTTAGTGTCGTTGGGGTAAATGTTGAGTTTTCAAGTGAAATGTCAATCCCTAGTTCATTTATCAAGCAGTTTATGTAATGATATTTACACATAGAAACGATGTTCATTGGGGCTTTATCTGCAGGACAACAACGTATTTGTCATGTAAAACAACAACGATAATGAAATTCAGATTTTCTGACTTTAAAAAATACCTGCAGTTGTAGAAGCGGGTCCAGTGGTTACCGACGGTTGAGTTGTTTGAATCAAAGGTGGACTTGTTCCTGGTGCTCCAGCTTGAGTACCTGTAGTTGGGGTTGACGCTGTAGAAGGTGTTCCAGAGGTAATCACTGGAGACGATGTAGGTGTTGTGGCTGGTTGTCCTGTGGTCAGAGCTACAGAAAACATCACTGTCATCACAGGCTTAGTACATTTATTTTAACACATATATAACTGAATAAATTGTCAATATCATCTATACATTAAGATGTCGATTTTGTCCTCCACTAATGAAGCAAAAATATAATACTCAAGTAAAAGGGAACATATGGGATTGTTTTGCAGTGTTCAAATTCAAGATGACATGAAAGTTGTTTTGTTGGTCATATATATGAAAATAACAGAAAATCAATTGTGTCCGACCGAGCGCTTTTTTCAGTAGCCTTTATCATGAACGGTCAAACCTCAACATATTCAATCCATGTCTACAAGCAATCACAAATTAAGACATAACATTGATAGTTATATTCAATAAAAAAAGGATTTAAAGATAAAATTGTTCATACTCTTTTGTCAATACATATGAATGAATATAATATGGCAAATATAAGATTATATGCATTTTAACATTCTATCGTATTTTACGGAGCAGTTTATCAAATCTAATGGTTAATTTGAATGTACAGTACAACAAAATTAGTTACCTTTAATACAAGCCTCCACGGTGACACTTTTTACAACCGGAGTTGCATTAGGTGTTTGGTCAGGTATTATCGTCAATGTTATCTTGTCAGCCAACTGAGGTTTGATAAATTCCAGTTCTACGATGCCATTTGGTTGTGCCTGTTGAAATACATAGCCTTCTGAATGTATGAATGTGCCTATTATGGAGTACTATATTGCATTGTATAGTGTCATTTAATGGGTATCTTTACCTTAAATGGTGTTACCAATATACACAGTGCTTAGTATTGACAGACGACTATAGTCTTAATGCAACGTTTCATTACTAAAATATAATTGTAATCAAAGACTAAATGTTCATGTCTTTACGAAAAGAATCATAATCCCCTAAACAACGAAACTTGAGTACAATGTAACGTAATTTGTAAACATTCTTTGGTTATACTATAATTTCAGAACTGCTTTTCCTGCGTTTCGTAGTTAATAAATTGAAGTTGTCTTCTTTTTCATTAATATTACAATCAGATGATAATAATAAAATATCATACCTTGACAGTCTCCTCATAAACTAAAACGTTGTCATTATAAAGTTTGACAACAATACTGTCAACAGATTCTGTTTTTAGAGCAACATTCATTATCGGATTACTGTCACTTGTTGATAACTCTAAAACTGGCTTTTCGTCTTCAGCTGACGGTTTCCATCCTGAAGGTGTTAAAGCGTTTTCAGCACCATCTGGATTCGATGAAGAAGTCACAGTTTCAAAATTTAATGGGCCCTTTGTCGCATCGTCCGGACATTTTTCCAGACCTAAAAATTCAAAAAGCAATAGTATAAATTAGAATACAAGGAAAGTGAAGTCAATGGATAATGCCAGTTTCCTTTCATTTTACCAAAAAAAACCTCCTGTATACAGTCAGCCTCATATGATTAAAGATACAAGTCGGCAAAAAGAGCCGCACAGTTGGCTTCTATGGGAATGCCGATTGTTAGTTGAAATACACGTCTTCCAAACGTAACAATTATGTTGTCAATCAAGACATCAAACATCTCGATAATATCAGTTTCAGAGAATTGCTTGTTTGAATCAGAGTGATTCTTTTACAAAGTACGATTTATTCCTCCCTAAGTCAAGACACTTGTACCTATGTTGGCCTTTCTTTCTTATGAACAAAATAGGATCAACTCTTTTAATTTGCCTTTTAGTTTGGAATGGAAAATACTTGTGTAAAGTATAGAAAATTAAAATATCTTAATACTATTTGCAATACGAAATAGTCTTAGATTGTATGTTCTCTAACAGATCTTTAAACTTTTTTTAGCATCTGTATATGATTCACACCTACTCTAGAATAGGTAGTTTTACAATAAATTTGAAGCCTGGCTTTGGTTGCTGAATACATTGATGTTAATAATTTAGAAAGAGGTTTTGTGGAGTACTTGGAAGACCCAGTAATATAACGTTGTTTGTAAGGACACTTATTCAATTTAGGTATTTAATACAGTTAAGGAAGATCACGTTCCGCATCTTTGGTCGAAATTCAAAAGAAACATACACAAGACCCTATAATTATACAATACGTCCTCCTTGGTTAGTGTCGTTGGGGTAAATGTTGAGTTTTCAAGTGAAATGTCAATCCCTAGTTCATTTATCAAGCAGTTTATGTAATGATATTTACACATAGAAACGATGTTCATTGGGGCTTTATCTGCAGGACAACAACGTATTTGTCATGTAAAACAACAACGATAATGAAATTCAGATTTTCTGACTTTAAAAAATACCTGCAGTTGTAGAAGCGGGTCCAGTGGTTACCGACGGTTGAGTTGTTTGAATCAAAGGTGGACTTGTTCCTGGTGCTCCAGCTTGAGTACCTGTAGTTGGGGTTGACGCTGTAGAAGGTGTTCCAGAGGTAATCACTGGAGACGATGTAGGTGTTGTGGCTGGTTGTCCTGTGGTCAGAGCTACAGAAAACATCACTGTCATCACAGGCTTAGTACATTTATTTTAACACATATATAACTGAATAAATTGTCAATATCATCTATACATTAAGATGTCGATTTTGTCCTCCACTAATGAAGCAAAAATATAATACTCAAGTAAAAGGGAACATATGGGATTGTTTTGCAGTGTTCAAATTCAAGATGACATGAAAGTTGTTTTGTTGGTCATATATATGAAAATAACAGAAAATCAATTGTGTCCGACCGAGCGCTTTTTTCAGTAGCCTTTATCATGAACGGTCAAACCTCAACATATTCAATCCATGTCTACAAGCAATCACAAATTAAGACATAACATTGATAGTTATATTCAATAAAAAAAGGATTTAAAGATAAAATTGTTCATACTCTTTTGTCAATACATATGAATGAATATAATATGGCAAATATAAGATTATATGCATTTTAACATTCTATCGTTTTTTACGGAGCAGTTTATCAAATCTAATGGTTAATTTGAATGTACAGTACAACAAAATTAGTTACCTTTAATACAAGCCTCCACGGTGACACTTTTTACAACCGGAGTTGCATTAGGTGTTTGGTCAGGTATTATCGTCAATGTTATCTTGTCAGCCAACTGAGGTTTGATAAATTCCAGTTCTACGATGCCATTTGGTTGTGCCTGTTGAAATACATAGCCTTCTGAATGTATGAATGTGCCTATTATGGAGTACTATATTGCATTGTATAGTGTCATTTAATGGGTATCTTTACCTTAAATGGTGTTACCAATATACACAGTGCTTAGTATTGACAGACGACTATAGTCTTAATGCAACGTTTCATTACTAAAATATAATTGTAATCAAAGACTAAATGTTCATGTCTTGACGAAAAGAATCATAATCCCCTAAACAACGAAACTTGAGTACAATGTAACGTAATTTGTAAACATTCTTTGGTTAAACTATAATTTCAGAACTGCTTTTCCTGCGTTTCGTAGTTAATAAATTGAAGTTGTCTTCTTTTTCATTAATATTACAATCAGATGATAATAATAAAATATCATACCTTGACAGTCTCCTCATAAACTAAAACGTTGTCATTATAAAGTTTGACAACAATACTGTCAACAGATTCTGTTTTTAGAGCAACATTCATTATCGGATTACTGTCACTTGTTGATAACTCTAAAACTGGCTTTTCGTCTTCAGCTGACGGTTTCCATCCTGAAGGTGTTAAAGCGTTTTCAGCACCATCTGGATTCGATGAAGAAGTCACAGTTTCAAAATTTAATGGGCCCTTTGTCGCATCGTCCGGACATTTTTCCAAACCTAAAAATTCAAAAAGCAATAGTATAAATTAGAATACAAGGAAAGTGAAGTCAATGGATAATGCCAGTTTCCTTTCATTTTACCAAAAAAAACCTCCTGTATACAGTCAGCCTCATATGATTAAAGATACAAGTCGGCAAAAAGAGCCGCACAGTTGGCTTCTATGGGAATGCCGATTGTTAGTTGAAATACACGTCTTCCAAACGTAACAATTATGTTGTCAATCAAGACATCAAACATCTCGATAATATCAGTTTCAGAGAATTGCTTGTTTGAATCAGAGTGATTCTTTTACAAAGTACGATTTATTCCTCCCTAAGTCAAGACACTTGTACCTATGTTGGCCTTTCTTTCTTATGAACAAAATAGGATCAACTCTTTTAATTTGCCTTTTAGTTTGGAATGGGAAATACTTGTGTAAAGTATAGAAAATTAAAATATCTTAATACTATTTGCAATACGAAATAGTCTTAGATTGTATGTTCTCTAACAGATCTTTAAACTTTTTTTTGCATCTGTATATGATTCACACCTACTCTAGAATAGGTAGTTTTACAATAAATTTGAAGCCTGGCTTTGGTTGCTGAATACATTGATGTTAATAATTTAGAAAGAGGTTTTGTGGAGTACTTGGAAGACCCAGTAATATAACGTTGTTTGTAAGGACACTTATTCAATTTAGGTATTTAATACAGTTAAGGAAGATCACGTTCCGCATCTTTGGTCGAAATTCAAAAGAAACATACAAAAGACCCTATAATTATACAATACGTCCTCCTTGGTTAGTGTCGTTGGGGTAAATGTTGAGTTTTCAAGTGAAATGTCAATCCCTAGTTCATTTATCAAGCAGTTTATGTAATGATATTTACACATAGAAACGATGTTCATTGGGGCTTTATCTGCAGGACAACAACGTATTTGTCATGTAAAACAACAACGATAATGAAATTCAGATTTTCTGACTTTAAAAAATACCTGCAGTTGTAGAAGCGGGTCCAGTGGTTACCGACGGTTGAGTTGTTTGAATCAAAGGTGGACTTGTTCCTGGTGCTCCAGCTTGAGTACCTGTAGTTGGGGTTGACGCTGTAGAAGGTGTTCCAGAGGTAATCACTGGAGACGATGTAGGTGTTGTGGCTGGTTGTCCTGTGGTCAGAGCTACAGAAAACATCACTGTCATCACAGGCTTAGTACATTTATTTTAACACATATATAACTGAATAAATTGTCAATATCATCTATACATTAAGATGTCGATTTTGTCCTCCACTAATGAAGCAAAAATATAATACTCAAGTAAAAGGGAACATATGGGATTGTTTTGCAGTGTTCAAATTCAAGATGACATGAAAGTTGTTTTGTTGGTCATATATATGAAAATAACAGAAAATCAATTGTGTCCGACCGAGCGCTTTTTTCAGTAGCCTTTATCATGAACGGTCAAACCTCAACATATTCAATCCATGTCTACAAGCAATCACAAATTAAGACATAACATTGATAGTTATATTCAATAAAAAAAGGATTTAAAGATAAAATTGTTCATACTCTTTTGTCAATACATATGAATGAATATAATATGGCAAATACAAGATTATATGCATTTTAACATTCTATCGTTTTTTACGGAGCAGTTTATCAAATCTAATGGTTAATTTGAATGTACAGTACAACAAAATTAGTTACCTTTAATACAAGCCTCCACGGTGACACTTTTTACAACCGGAGTTGCATTAGGTGTTTGGTCAGGTATTATCGTCAATGTTATCTTGTCAGCCAACTGAGGTTTGATAAATTCCAGTTCTACGATGCCATTTGGTTGTGCCTGTTGAAATACATAGCCTTCTGAATGTATGAATGTGCCTATTATGGAGTACTATATTGCATTGTATAGTGTCATTTAATGGGTATCTTTACCTTAAATGGTGTTACCAATATACACAGTGCTTAGTATTGACAGACGACTATAGTCTTAATGCAACGTTTCATTACTAAAATATAATTGTAATCAAAGACTAAATGTTCATGTCTTTACGAAAAGAATCATAATCCCCTAAACAACGAAACTTGAGTACAATGTAACGTAATTTGTAAACATTCTTTGGTTATACTATAATTTCAGAACTGCTTTTCGTGCGTTTCGTAGTTAATAAGTTGAAGTTGTCTTCTTTTTCATTAATATTACAATCAGATGATAATAATAAAATATCATACCTTGACAGTCTCCTCATAAACTAAAACGTTGTCATTATAAAGTTTGACAACAATACTGTCAACAGATTCTGTTTTTAGAGCAACATTCATTATCGGATTACTGTCACTTGTTGATAACTCTAAAACTGGCTTTTCGTCTTCAGCTGACGGTTTCCATCCTGAAGGTGTTAAAGCGTTTTCAGCACCATCTGGATTCGATGAAGAAGTCACAGTTTCAAAATTTAATGGGCCCTTTGTCGCATCGTCCGGACATTTTTCCAAACCTAAAAATTCAAAAAGCAATAGTATAAATTAGAATACAAGGAAAGTGAAGTCAATGGATAATGCCAGTTTCCTTTCATTTTACCAAAAAAAACCTCCTGTATACAGTCAGCCTCATATGATTAAAGATACAAGTCGGCAAAAAGAGCCGCACAGTTGGCTTCTATGGGAATGCCGATTGTTAGTTGAAATACACGTCTTCCAAACGTAACAATTATGTTGTCAATCAAGACATCAAACATCTCGATAATATCAGTTTCAGAGAATTGCTTGTTTGAATCAGAGTGATTCTTTTACAAAGTACGATTTATTCCTCCCTAAGTCAAGACACTTGTACCTATGTTGGCCTTTCTTTCTTATGAACAAAATAGGATCAACTCTTTTAATTTGCCTTTTAGTTTGGAATGGGAAATACTTGTGTAAAGTATAGAAAATTAAAATATCTTAATACTATTTGCAATACGAAATAGTCTTAGATTGTATGTTCTCTAACAGATCTTTAAACTTTTTTTAGCATCTGTATATGATTCACACCTACTCTAGAATAGGTAGTTTTACAATAAATTTGAAGCCTGGCTTTGGTTGCTGAATACATTGATGTTAATAATTTAGAAAGAGGTTTTGTGGAGTACTTGGAAGACCCAGTAATATAACGTTGTTTGTAAGGACACTTATTCAATTTAGGTATTTAATACAGTTAAGGAAGATCACGTTCCGCATCTTTGGTCGAAATTCAAAAGAAACATACAAAAGACCCTATAATTATACAATACGTCCTCCTTGGTTAGTGTCGTTGGGGTAAATGTTGAGTTTTCAAGTGAAATGTCAATCCCTAGTTCATTTATCAAGCAGTTTATGTAATGATATTTACACATAGAAACGATGTTCATTGGGGCTTTATCTGCAGGACAACAACGTATTTGTCATGTAAAACAACAACGATAATGAAATTCAGATTTTCTGACTTTAAAAAATACCTGCAGTTGTAGAAGCGGGTCCAGTGGTTACCGACGGTTGAGTTGTTTGAATCAAAGGTGGACTTGTTCCTGGTGCTCCAGCTTGAGTACCTGTAGTTGGGGTTGACGCTGTAGAAGGTGTTCCAGAGGTAATCACTGGAGACGATGTAGGTGTTGTGGCTGGTTGTCCTGTGGTCAGAGCTACAGAAAACATCACTGTCATCACAGGCTTAGTACATTTATTTTAACACATATATAACTGAATAAATTGTCAATATCATCTATACATTAAGATGTCGATTTTGTCCTCCACTAATGAAGCAAAAATATAATACTCAAGTAAAAGGGAACATATGGGATTGTTTTGCAGTGTTCAAATTCAAGATGACATGAAAGTTGTTTTGTTGGTCATATATATGAAAATAAAAGAAAATCAATTGTGTCCGACCGAGCGCTTTTTTCAGTAGCCTTTATCATGAACGGTCAAACCTCAACATATTCAATCCATGTCTACAAGCAATCACAAATTAAGACATAACATTGATAGTTATATTCAATAAAAAAAGGATTTAAAGATAAAATTGTTCATACTCTTTTGTCAATACATATGAATGAATATAATATGGCAAATATAAGATTATATGCATTTTAACATTCTATCGTTTTTTACGGAGCAGTTTATCAAATCTAATGGTTAATTTGAATGTACAGTACAACAAAATTAGTTACCTTTAATACAAGCCTCCACGGTGACACTTTTTACAACCGGAGTTGCATTAGGTGTTTGGTCAGGTATTATCGTCAATGTTATCTTGTCAGCCAACTGAGGTTTGATAAATTCCAGTTCTACGATGCCATTTGGTTGTGCCTGTTGAAATACATAGCCTTCTGAATGTATGAATGTGCCTATTATGGAGTACTATATTGCATTGTATAGTGTCATTTAATGGGTATCTTTACCTTAAATGGTGTTACCAATATACACAGTGCTTAGTATTGACAGACGACTATAGTCTTAATGCAACGTTTCATTACTAAAATATAATTGTAATCAAAGACTAAATGTTCATGTCTTTACGAAAAGAATCATAATCCCCTAAACAACGAAACTTGAGTACAATGTAACGTAATTTGTAAACATTCTTTGGTTATACTATAATTTCAGAACTGCTTTTCGTGCGTTTCGTAGTTAATAAATTGAAGTTGTCTTCTTTTTCATTAATATTACAATCAGATGATAATAATAAAATATCATACCTTGACAGTCTCCTCATAAACTAAAACGTTGTCATTATAAAGTTTGACAACAATACTGTCAACAGATTCTGTTTTTAGAGCAACATTCATTATCGGATTACTGTCACTTGTTGATAACTCTAAAACTGGCTTTTCGTCTTCAGCTGACGGTTTCCATCCTGAAGGTGTTAAAGCGTTTTCAGCACCATCTGGATTCGATGAAGAAGTCACAGTTTCAAAATTTAATGGGCCCTTTGTCGCATCGTCCGGACATTTTTCCAAACCTAAAAATTCAAAAAGCAATAGTATAAATTAGAATACAAGGAAAGTGAAGTCAATGGATAATGCCAGTTTCCTTTCATTTTACCAAAAAAAACCTCCTGTATACAGTCAGCCTCATATGATTAAAGATACAAGTCGGCAAAAAGAGCCGCACAGTTGGCTTCTATGGGAATGCCGATTGATAGTTGAAATACACGTCTTCCAAACGTAACAATTATGTTGTCAATCAAGACATCAAACATCTCGATAATATCAGTTTCAGAGAATTGCTTGTTTGAATCAGAGTGATTCTTTTACAAAGTACGATTTATTCCTCCCTAAGTCAAGACACTTGTACCTATGTTGGCCTTTCTTTCTTATGAACAAAATAGGATCAACTCTTTTAATTTGCCTTTTAGTTTGGAATGGGAAATACTTGTGTAAAGTATAGAAAATTAAAATATCTTAATACTATTTGCAATACGAAATAGTCTTAGATTGTATGTTCTCTAACAGATCTTTAAACTTTTTTTAGCATCTGTATATGATTCACACCTACTCTAGAATAGGTAGTTTTACAATAAATTTGAAGCCTGGCTTTGGTTGCTGAATACATTGATGTTAATAATTTAGAAAGAGGTTTTGTGGAGTACTTGGAAGACCCAGTAATATAACGTTGTTTGTAAGGACACTTATTCAATTTAGGTATTTAATACAGTTAAGGAAGATCACGTTCCGCATCTTTGGTTGAAATTCAAAAGAAACATACAAAAGACCCTATAATTATACAATACGTCCTCCTTGGTTAGTGTCGTTGGGGTTAATGTTGAGTTTTCAAGTGAAATGTCAATCCCTAGTTCATTTATCAAGCAGTTTATGTAATGATATTTACACATAGAAACGATGTTCATTTGGGGCTTTATCTGCAGGACAACAACGTATTTGTCATGTAAAACAACAACGATAATGAAATTCAGATTTTCTGACTTTAAAAAATACCTGCAGTTGTAGAAGCGGGTCCAGTGGTTACCGACGGTTGAGTTGTTTGAATCAAAGGTGGACTTGTTCCTGGTGCTCCAGCTTGAGTACCTGTAGTTGGGGTTGACGCTGTAGAAGGTGTTCCAGAGGTAATCACTGGAGACGATGTAGGTGTTGTGGCTGGTTGTCCTGTGGTCAGAGCTACAGAAAACATCACTGTCATCACAGGCTTAGTACATTTATTTTAACACATATATAACTGAATAAATTGTCAATATCATCTATACATTAAGATGTCGATTTTGTCCTCCACTAATGAAGCAAAAATATAATACTCAAGTAAAAGGGAACATATGGGATTGTTTTGCAGTGTTCAAATTCAAGATGACATGAAAGTTGTTTTGTTGGTCATATATATGAAAATAACAGAAAATCAATTGTGTCCGACCGAGCGCTTTTTTCAGTAGCCTTTATCATGAACGGTCAAACCTCAACATATTCAATCCATGTCTACAAGCAATCACAAATTAAGACATAACATTGATAGTTATATTCAATAAAAAAGGATTTAAAGATAAAATTGTTCATACTCTTTTGTCAATACATATGAATGAATATAATATGGCAAATATAAGATTATATGCATTTTAACATTCTATCGTTTTTTACGGAGCAGTTTAACAAATCTAATGGTTAATTTGAATGTACAGTACAACAAAATTAGTTACCTTTAATACAAGCCTCCACGGTGACACTTTTTACAACCGGAGTTGCATTAGGTGTTTGGTCAGGTATTATCGTCAATGTTATCTTGTCAGCCAACTGAGGTTTGATAAATTCCAGTTCTACGATGCCATTTGGTTGTGCCTGTTGAAATACATAGCCTTCTGAATGTATGAATGTGCCTATTATGGAGTACTATATTGCATTGTATAGTGTCATTTAATGGGTATCTTTACCTTAAATGGTGTTACCAATATACACAGTGCTTAGTATTGACAGACGACTATAGTCTTAATGCAACGTTTCATTACTAAAATATAATTGTAATCAAAGACTTAATGTTCATGTCTTTACGAAAAGAATCATAATCCCCTAAACAACGAAACTTGAGTACAATGTAACGTAATTTGTAAACATTCTTTGGTTATACTATAATTTCAGAACTGCTTTTCCTGCGTTTCGTAGTTAATAAATTGAAGTTGTCTTCTTTTTCATTAATATTACAATCAGATGATAATAATAAAATATCATACCTTGACAGTCTCCTCATAAACTAAAACGTTGTCATTATAAAGTTTGACAACAATACTGTCAACAGATTCTGTTTTTAGAGCAACATTCATTATCGGATTACTGTCACTTGTTGATAACTCTAAAACTGGCTTTTCGTCTTCAGCTGACGGTTTCCATCCTGAAGGTGTTAAAGCGTTTTCAGCACCATCTGGATTCGATGAAGAAGTCACAGTTTCAAAATTTAATGGGCCCTTTGTCGCATCGTCCGGACATTTTTCCAAACCTAAAAATTCAAAAAGCAATAGTATAAATTAGAATACAAGGAAAGTGAAGTCAATGGATAATGCCAGTTTCCTTTCATTTTACCAAAAAAAACCTCCTGTATACAGTCAGCCTCATATGATTAAAGATACAAGTCGGCAAAAAGAGCCGCACAGTTGGCTTCTATGGGAATGCCGATTGTTAGTTGAAATACACGTCTTCCAAACGTAACAATTATGTTGTCAATCAAGACATCAAACATCTCGATAATATCAGTTTCAGAGAATTGCTTGTTTGAATCAGAGTGATTCTTTTACAAAGTACGATTTATTCCTCCCTAAGTCAAGACACTTGTACCTATGTTGGCCTTTCTTTCTTATGAACAAAATAGGATCAACTCTTTTAATTTGCCTTTTAGTTTGGAATGGGAAATACTTGTGTAAAGTATAGAAAATTAAAATATCTTAATACTATTTGCAATACGAAATAGTCTTAGATTGTATGTTCTCTAACAGATCTTTAAACTTTTTTTAGCATCTGTATATGATTCACACCTACTCTAGAATAGGTAGTTTTACAATAAATTTGAAGCCTGGCTTTGGTTGCTGAATACATTGATGTTAATAATTTAGAAAGAGGTTTTGTGGAGTACTTGGAAGACCCAGTAATATAACGTTGTTTGTAAGGACACTTATTCAATTTAGGTATTTAATACAGTTAAGGAAGATCACGTTCCGCATCTTTGGTCGAAATTCAAAAGAAACATACAAAAGACCCTATAATTATACAATACGTCCTCCTTGGTTAGTGTCGTTGGGGTAAATGTTGAGTTTTCAAGTGAAATTTCAATCCCTAGTTCATTTATCAAGCAGTTTATGTAATGATATTTACACATAGAAACGATGTTCATTGGGGCTTTATCTGCAGGACAACAACGTATTTGTCATGTAAAACAACAACGATAATGAAATTCAGATTTTCTGACTTTAAAAAATACCTGCAGTTGTAGAAGCGGGTCCAGTGGTTACCGACGGTTGAGTTGTTTGAATCAAAGGTGGACTTGTTCCTGGTGCTCCAGCTTGAGTACCTGTAGTTGGGGTTGACGCTGTAGAAGGTGTTCCAGAGGTAATCACTGGAGACGATGTAGGTGTTGTGGCTGGTTGTCCTGTGGTCAGAGCTACAGAAAACATCACTGTCATCACAGGCTTAGTACATTTATTTTAACACATATATAACTGAATAAATTGTCAATATCATCTATACATTAAGATGTCGATTTTGTCCTCCACTAATGAAGCAAAAATATAATACTCAAGTAAAAGGGAACATATGGGATTGTTTTGCAGTGTTCAAATTCAAGATGACATGAAAGTTGTTTTGTTGGTCATATATATGAAAATAACAGAAAATCAATTGTGTCCGACCGAGCGCTTTTTTCAGTAGCCTTTATCATGAACGGTCAAACCTCAACATATTCAATCCATGTCTACAAGCAATCACAAATTAAGACATAACATTGATAGTTATATTCAATAAAAAAGGATTTAAAGATAAAATTGTTCATACTCTTTTGTCAATACATATGAATGAATATAATATGGCAAATATAAGATTATATGCATTTTAACATTCTATCGTTTTTTACGGAGCAGTTTAACAAATCTAATGGTTATTTTGAATGTACAGTACAACAAAATTAGTTACCTTTAATACAAGCCTCCACGGTGACACTTTTTACAACCGGAGTTGCATTAGGTGTTTGGTCAGGTATTATCGTCAATGTTATCTTGTCAGCCAACTGAGGTTTGATAAATTCCAGTTCTACGATGCCATTTGGTTGTGCCTGTTGAAATACATAGCCTTCTGAATGTATGAATGTGCCTATTATGGAGTACTATATTGCATTGTATAGTGTCATTTAATGGGTATCTTTACCTTAAATGGTGTTACCAATATACACAGTGCTTAGTATTGACAGACGACTATAGTCTTAATGCAACGTTTCATTACTAAAATATAATTGTAATCAAAGACTTAATGTTCATGTCTTTACGAAAAGAATCATAATCCCCTAAACAACGAAACTTGAGTACAATGTAACGTAATTTGTAAACATTCTTTGGTTATACTATAATTTCAGAACTGCTTTTCCTGCGTTTCGTAGTTAATAAATTGAAGTTGTCTTCTTTTTCATTAATATTACAATCAGATGATAATAATAAAATATCATACCTTGACAGTCTCCTCATAAACTAAAACGTTGTCATTATAAAGTTTGACAACAATACTGTCAACAGATTCTGTTTTTAGAGCAACATTCATTATCGGATTACTGTCACTTGTTGATAACTCTAAAACTGGCTTTTCGTCTTCAGCTGACGGTTTCCATCCTGAAGGTGTTAAAGCGTTTTCAGCACCATCTGGATTCGATGAAGAAGTCACAGTTTCAAAATTTAATGGGCCCTTTGTCGCATCGTCCGGACATTTTTCCAAACCTAAAAATTCAAAAAGCAATATTATAAATTAGAATACAAGGAAAGTGAAGTCAATGGATAATGCCAGTTTCCTTTCATTTTACCAAAAAAAACCTCCTGTATACAGTCAGCCTCATATGATTAAAGATACAAGTCGGCAAAAAGAGCCGCACAGTTGGCTTCTATGGGAATGCCGATTGTTAGTTGAAATACACGTCTTCCAAACGTAACAATTATGTTGTCAATCAAGACATCAAACATCTCGATAATATCAGTTTCAGAGAATTGCTTGTTTGAATCAGAGTGATTCTTTTACAAAGTACGATTTATTCCTCCCTAAGTCAAGACACTTGTACCTATGTTGGCCTTTCTTTCTTATGAACAAAATAGGATCAACTCTTTTAATTTGCCTTTTAGTTTGGAATGGGAAATACTTGTGTAAAGTATAGAAAATTAAAATATCTTAATACTATTTGCAATACGAAATAGTCTTAGATTGTATGTTCTCTAACAGATCTTTAAACTTTTTTTAGCATCTGTATATGATTCACACCTACTCTAGAATAGGTAGTTTTACAATAAATTTGAAGCCTGGCTTTGGTTGCTGAATACATTGATGTTAATAATTTAGAAAGAGGTTTTGTGGAGTACTTGGAAGACCCAGTAATATAACGTTGTTTGTAAGGACACTTATTCAATTTAGGTATTTAATACAGTTAAGGAAGATCACGTTCCGCATCTTTGGTCGAAATTCAAAAGAAACATACAAAAGACCCTATAATTATACAATACGTCCTCCTTGGTTAGTGTCGTTGGGGTAAATGTTGAGTTTTCAAGTGAAATTTCAATCCCTAGTTCATTTATCAAGCAGTTTATGTAATGATATTTACACATAGAAACGATGTTCATTGGGGCTTTATCTGCAGGACAACAACGTATTTGTCATGTAAAACAACAACGATAATGAAATTCAGATTTTCTGACTTTAAAAAATACCTGCAGTTGTAGAAGCGGGTCCAGTGGTTACCGACGGTTGAGTTGTTTGAATCAAAGGTGGACTTGTTCCTGGTGCTCCAGCTTGAGTACCTGTAGTTGGGGTTGACGCTGTAGAAGGTGTTCCAGAGGTAATCACTGGAGACGATGTAGGTGTTGTGGCTGGTTGTCCTGTGGTCAGAGCTACAGAAAACATCACTGTCATCACAGGCTTAGTACATTTATTTTAACACATATATAACTGAATAAATTGTCAATATCATCTATACATTAAGATGTCGATTTTGTCCTCCACTAATGAAGCAAAAATATAATACTCAAGTAAAAGGGAACATATGGGATTGTTTTGCAGTGTTCAAATTCAAGATGACATGAAAGTTGTTTTGTTGGTCATATATATGAAAATAACAGAAAATCAATTGTGTCCGACCGAGCGCTTTTTTCAGTAGCCTTTATCATGAACGGTCAAACCTCAACATATTCAATCCATGTCTACAAGCAATCACAAATTAAGACATAACATTGATAGTTATATTCAATAAAAAAGGATTTAAAGATAAAATTGTTCATACTCTTTTGTCAATACATATGAATGAATATAATATGGCAAATATAAGATTATATGCATTTTAACATTCTATCGTTTTTTACGGAGCAGTTTAACAAATCTAATGGTTATTTTGAATGTACAGTACAACAAAATTAGTTACCTTTAATACAAGCCTCCACGGTGACACTTTTTACAACCGGAGTTGCATTAGGTGTTTGGTCAGGTATTATCGTCAATGTTATCTTGTCAGCCAACTGAGGTTTGATAAATTCCAGTTCTACGATGCCATTTGGTTGTGCCTGTTGAAATACATAGCCTTCTGAATGTATGAATGTGCCTATTATGGAGTACTATATTGCATTGTATAGTGTCATTTAATGGGTATCTTTACCTTAAATGGTGTTACCAATATACACAGTGCTTAGTATTGACAGACGACTATAGTCTTAATGCAACGTTTCATTACTAAAATATAATTGTAATCAAAGACTTAATGTTCATGTCTTTACGAAAAGAATCATAATCCCCTAAACAACGAAACTTGAGTACAATGTAACGTAATTTGTAAACATTCTTTGGTTATACTATAATTTCAGAACTGCTTTTCCTGCGTTTCGTAGTTAATAAATTGAAGTTGTCTTCTTTTTCATTAATATTACAATCAGATGATAATAATAAAATATCATACCTTGACAGTCTCCTCATAAACTAAAACGTTGTCATTATAAAGTTTGACAACAATACTGTCAACAGATTCTGTTTTTAGAGCAACATTCATTATCGGATTACTGTCACTTGTTGATAACTCTAAAACTGGCTTTTCGTCTTCAGCTGACGGTTTCCATCCTGAAGGTGTTAAAGCGTTTTCAGCACCATCTGGATTCGATGAAGAAGTCACAGTTTCAAAATTTAATGGGCCCTTTGTCGCATCGTCCGGACATTTTTCCAAACCTAAAAATTCAAAAAGCAATAGTATAAATTAGAATACAAGGAAAGTGAAGTCAATGGATAATGCCAGTTTCCTTTCATTTTACCAAAAAAAACCTCCTGTATACAGTCAGCCTCATATGATTAAAGATACAAGTCGGCAAAAAGAGCCGCACAGTTGGCTTCTATGGGAATGCCGATTGTTAGTTGAAATACACGTCTTCCAAACGTAACAATTATGTTGTCAATCAAGACATCAAACATCTCGATAATATCAGTTTCAGAGAATTGCTTGTTTGAATCAGAGTGATTCTTTTACAAAGTACGATTTATTCCTCCCTAAGTCAAGACACTTGTACCTATGTTGGCCTTTCTTTCTTATGAACAAAATAGGATCAACTCTTTTAATTTGCCTTTTAGTTTGGAATGGGAAATACTTGTGTAAAGTATAGAAAATTAAAATATCTTAATACTATTTGCAATACGAAATAGTCTTAGATTGTATGTTCTCTAACAGATCTTTAAACTTTTTTTAGCATCTGTATATGATTCACACCTACTCTAGAATAGGTAGTTTTACAATAAATTTGAAGCCTGGCTTTGGTTGCTGAATACATTGATGTTAATAATTTAGAAAGAGGTTTTGTGGAGTACTTGGAAGACCCAGTAATATAACGTTGTTTGTAAGGACACTTATTCAATTTAGGTATTTAATACAGTTAAGGAAGATCACGTTCCGCATCTTTGGTCGAAATTCAAAAGAAACATACAAAAGACCCTATAATTATACAATACGTCCTCCTTGGTTAGTGTCGTTGGGGTAAATGTTGAGTTTTCAAGTGAAATGTCAATCCCTAGTTCATTTATCAAGCAGTTTATGTAATGATATTTACACATAGAAACGATGTTCATTGGGGCTTTATCTGCAGGACAACAACGTATTTGTCATGTAAAACAACAACGATAATGAAATTCAGATTTTCTGACTTTAAAAAATACCTGCAGTTGTAGAAGCGGATCCAGTGGTTACCGACGGTTGAGTTGTTTGAATCAAAGGTGGACTTGTTCCTGGTGCTCCAGCTTGAGTACCTGTAGTTGGGGTTGACGCTGTAGAAGGTGTTCCAGAGGTAATCACTGGAGACGATGTAGGTGTTGTGGCTGGTTGTCCTGTGGTCAGAGCTACAGAAAACATCACTGTCATCACAGGCTTAGTACATTTATTTTAACACATATATAACTGAATAAATTGTCAATATCATCTATACATTAAGATGTCTATTTTGTCCTCCACTAATGAAGCAAAAATATAATACTCAAGTAAAAGGGAACATATGGGATTGTTTTGCAGTGTTCAAATTCAAGATGACATGAAAGTTGTTTTGTTGGTCATATATATGAAAATAACAGAAAATCAATTGTGTCCGACCGAGCGCTTTTTTCAGTAGCCTTTATCATGAACGGTCAAACCTCAACATATTCAATCCATGTCTACAAGCAATCACAAATTAAGACATAACATTGATAGTTATATTCAATAAAAAAGGATTTAAAGATAAAATTGTTCATACTCTTTTGTCAATACATATGAATGAATATAATATGGCAAATATAAGATTATATGCATTTTAACATTCTATCGTTTTCTACGGAGCAGTTTATCAAATCTAATGGTTAATTTGAATGTACAGTACAACAAAATTAGTTACCTTTAATACAAGCCTCCACGGTGACACTTTTTACAACCGGAGTTGCATTAGGTGTTTGGTCAGGTATTATCGTCAATGTTATCTTGTCAGCCAACTGAGGTTTGATAAATTCCAGTTCTACGATGCCATTTGGTTGTGCCTGTTGAAATACATAGCCTTCTGAATGTATGAATGTGCCTATTATGGAGTACTATATTGCATTGTATAGTGTCATTTAATGGGTATCTTTACCTTAAATGGTGTTACCAATATACACAGTGCTTAGTATTGACAGACGACTATAGTCTTAATGCAACGTTTCATTACTAAAATATAATTGTAATCAAAGACTAAATGTTCATGTCTTTACGAAAAGAATCATAATCCCCTAAACAACGAAACTTGAGTACAATGTAACGTAATTTGTAAACATTCTTTGGTTATACTATAATTTCAGAACTGCTTTTCGTGCGTTTCGTAGTTAATAAATTGAAGTTGTCTTCTTTTTCATTAATATTACAATCAGATGATAATAATAAAATATCATACCTTGACACTCTCCTCATAAACTAAAACGTTGTCATTATAAAGTTTGACAACAATACTGTCAACAAATTCTGTTTTTAGAGCAACATTCATTATCGGATTACTGTCACTTGTTGATAACTCTAAAACTGGCTTTTCGTCTTCAGCTGACGGTTTCCATCCTGAAGGTGTTAAAGCGTTTTCAGCACCATCTGGATTCGATGAAGAAGTCACAGTTTCAAAATTTAATGGGCCCTTTGGCGTATCGTCTGGACATTTTCCCAAACCTATAAATTCAAAAAGCAATAGTTTAAATTGGAATACAAGGAAAGTGAAGCCAAAGGATAATGCCAGTTTTCTTTCATTCTTCCTAAAAAAAAACTCCTGTGTACAGTCAGCCTCATATGATTAAAGATACAAGTCGGCAAAAAGAGCCGCACAGTTGGCTCCTATGGGAATGCCGATTGTTAGTTGAAATACACGTCTTCCAAACGTTACAATTATGTTGTCAATCAAGACATCAAACATCTCGATAATATCAGTTTCAGAGAATTGCTTGTTTGAATCAGAGTGATTCTTTTACAAAGTACGATTTATTCCTCCCTAAGTCAAGACACTTGTACCTATGTTGGCCTTTCTTTCTTATGAACAAAATAGGATCAACTCTTTTAATTTGCCTTTTAGTTTGAAATGGGAAATACTTGTGTAAAGTATAGAAAATTAAAATATCTTAATACTATTTGCAATACGAAATAGTCTTAGATTGTATGTTCTCTAACAGATCTTTAAACTTGTTTTAGCATCTGTATATGATTCACACCTACTCTAGAATAGGTAGTTTTACAATAAATTTGAAGCCTGGCTTTGGTTGCTGAATACATTGATGTTAATAATTTAGAAAGATGTTTGTGGAGTACTTGGATACCCAGTAATATAACGTTGTTTGTAAGGACACTTATTCAATTTAGGTATTTAATACAGTCAAGGAAGATCACGTTCCGCATCTTTGGTTGAAATTCAAAAGAAACATACAAAAGACCCTATAATTATACAATACGTCCTCCTTGGTAAGTGTCGTTGGGGTAAATGTTGAGTTTTCAAGTGAAATGTCAATCCCTAGTTCATTTATCAAGCAGTTTATGTAATGTGATTTACACATAGAAACGATGTTCATTGGGGCTTTATCTGCAGGACAACAACGTATTTGTCATGTAAAACAACAACGATAATGAAATTCAGATTTTCTGACTTTAAAAAATACCTGCAGTTGTAGAAGCGGGTCCAGTGGTTACCGACGGTTGAGCTGTTTGAATCAAAGGTGGACTTGTTCCTGGTGCTCCAGCTTGAGTACCTGTAGTTGGGGTTGACGCTGTAGAAGGTGTTCCAGAGGTAATCACTGGAGACGATGTAGGTGTTGTGGCTGGTTGTCCTGTGGTCAGAGCTACAGAAAACATCACTGTCATCACAGGCTTAGTACATTTATTTTAACACATATATAACTGAATAAATTGTCAATATCATCTATACATTAAGATGTCGATTTTGTCCTCCACTAATGAAGCAAAAATATAATACTTAAGTAAAAGGGAACATATGGGATTGTTTTGCAGTGTTCAAATTCAAGATGACATGAAAGTTGTTTTGTTGGTCATATACATGAAAGTAACAGAAAATCAATTGTGTCCGACCGAGCGCTTTTTTCAGTAGCCTTTATCATGAACGGTCAAACCTCAACATATTCAATCCATGTCTACAAGCAATCACAAATTAAGACATAACATTGATAGTTATATTCAATAAAAAGGGATTTAAAGATAAAATTGTTCATACTCTTTTGTCAATACATATGAATGAATATAATATGGCAAATATAAGATTATATGCATTTTAACATTCTATCGTTTTTTACGGAGCAGTTTATCAAATCTAATGGTTAATTTGAATGTACAGTACAACAAAATTAGTTACCTTTAATACAAGCCTCCACGGTGACACTTTTTACAACCGGAGTTGCATTAGGTGTTTGGTCAGGTATTATCGTCAATGTTATCTTGTCAGCCAACTGAGGTTTGATAAATTCCAGTTCTACGATGCCATTTGGTTGTGCCTGTTGAAATACATAGCCTTCTGAATGTATGAATGTGCCTATTATGGAGTACTATATTGCATTGTATAGTGTCATTTAATGGGTATCTTTACCTTAAATGGTGTTACCAATATACACAGTGATTAGTATTGACAGACGACTATAGTCTTAATGCAACGTTTCATTACTAAAATATAATTGTAATCAAAGACTAAATGTTCATGTCTTTACGAAAAGAATCATAATCCCCTAAACAACGAAACTTGAGTACAATGTAACGTAATTTGTAAACATTCTTTGGTTATACTATAATTTCAGAACTGCTTTTCGTGCGTTTCGTAGTTAATAAATTGAAGTTGTCTTCTTTTTCATTAATATTACAATCAGATGATAATAATAAAATATCATACCTTGACAGTCTCCTCATAAACTAAAACGTTGTCATTATAAAGTTTGACAACAATACTGTCAACAAATTCTGTTTTTAGAGCAACATTCATTATCGGATTACTGTCACTTGTTGATAACTCTAAAACTGGCTTTTCGGCTTCAGCTGACGGTTTCCATCCTGAAGGTGTTAAAGCGTTTTCAGCACCATCTGGATTCGATGAAGAAGTCACAGTTTCAAAATTTAATGGGCCCTTTGTCGCATCGTCCGGACATTTTTCCAAACCTAAATTTCAAAAAGCAATAATATAAATTAGAATACAAGGACAGTGAAGTCAATGGATAATGCCAGTTTCCTTTCATTTTTCCTAAAAAAATCTCCTGTATACAGTCAGCCTCATATGATTAAAGATACAAGTCGGCAAAAAGAGCCGCACAGTTGGCTTCTGTGGGAATGCCGATTGTTAGTTGAAATACACGTCTTCCAAACGTAACAATTATGTTGTCAATCAAGACATCAAACATCTCGATAATATCAGTTTCAGAGAATTGCTTGTTTGAATCAGAGTGATTCTTTTACAAAGTACGATTTATTCCTCCCTAAGTCAAGACACTTGTACCTATGTTGGCCTTTCTTTCTTATGAACAAAATAGGATCAACTCTTTTAATTTGCCTTTTAGTTTGGAATGGGAAATACTTGTGTAAAGTATAGAAAATTAAAATATCTTAATACTATTTGCAATATGAAATAGTCTTAGATTGTATGTTCTCTAACAGATCTTTAAACTTTTTTTAGCATCTGTATATGATTCACACCTACTCTAGAATAGGTAGTTTTACAATAAATTTGAAGCCTGGCTTTGGTTGCTGAATACATTGATGTTAATAATTTAGAAAGAGGTTTTGTGGAGTACTTGGAAGACCCAGTAATATAACGTTGTTTGTAAGGACACTTATTCAATTTAGGTATTTAATACAGTTAAGGAAGATCACGTTTCGCATCTTTGGTTGAAATTCAAAAGAAACATACAAAAGACCCTATAATTATACAATACGTCCTCCTTGGTTAGTGTCGTTCGGGTAAATGTTGAGTTTTCAAGGGAAATGTCAATCCCTAGTTCATTTATCAAGCAGTTTATGTAATGATATTTACACATAGAAACGATGTTCATTGGGGCTTTATCTGCAGGACAACAACGTATTTGTCATGTAAAACAACAACGATAATGAAATTCAGATTTTCTGACTTTAAAAAATACCTGCAGTTGTAGAAGCGGGTCCAGTGGTTACCGACGGTTGAGTTGTTTGAATCAAAGGTGGACTTGTTCCTGGTGCTCCAGCTTGAGTACCTGTAGTTGGGGTTGACGCTGTAGAAGGTGTTCCAGAGGTAATCACTGGAGACGATGTAGGTGTTGTGGCTGGTTGTCCTGTGGTCAGAGCTACAGAAAACATCACTGTCATCACAGGCTTAGTACATTTATTTTAACACATATATAACTGAATAAATGGTCAATATCATCTATACATTAAGATGTCGATTTTGTCCTCCACTAATGAAGCAAAAATATAATACTCAAGTAAAAGGGAACATATGGGATTGTTTTGCAGTGTTCAAATTCAAGATGACATGAAAGTTGTTTTGTTGGTCATATATATGAAAATAACAGAAAATCAATTGTGTCCGACCGAGCGCTTTTTTCAGTAGCCTTTATCATGAACGGTCAAACCTCAACATATTCAATCCATGTCTACAAGCAATCACAAATTAAGACATAACATTGATAGTTATATTCAATAAAAAAGGATTTGAAGATAAAATTGTTCATACTCTTTTGTCAATACATATGAATGAATATAATATGGCAAATATAAGATTATATGCATTTTAACATTCTATCGTTTTTTACGGAGCAGTTTATCAAATCTAATGGTTAATTTGAATGTACAGTACAACAAAATTAGTTACCTTTAATACAAGCCTCCACGGTGACACTTGTTACAACCGGAGTTGCATTAGGTGTTTGGTCAGGTATTATCGTCAATGTTATCTTGTCAGCCAACTGAGGTTTGATAAATTCCAGTTCTACGATGCCATTTGGTTGTGCCTGTTGAAATACATAGCCTTCTGAATGTATGAATGTGCCTATTATGGAGTACTATATTGCATTGTATAGTGTCATTTAATGGGTATCTTTACCTTAAATGGTGTTACCAATATACACAGTGCTTAGTATTGACAGACGACTATAGTCTTAATGCAACGTTTCATTACTAAAATATAATTGTAATCAAAGACTAAATGTTCGTGTCTTTACGAAAAGAATCATAATCCCCTAACAACGAAACTTGAGTACAATGTAACGTAATTTGTAAACATTCTTTGGTTATACTATAATTTCAGAACTGCTTTTCGTGCGTTTCGTAGTTAATAAATTGAAGTTGTCTTCTTTTTCATTAATATTACAATCAGATGATAATAATAAAATATCATACCTTGACAGTCTCCTCATAAACTAAAACGTTGTCATTATAAAGTTTGACAACAATACTGTCAACAAATTCTGTTTTTAGAGCAACATTCATTATCGGATTACTGTCACTTGTTGATAACTCTAAAACTGGCTTTTCGTCTTCAGCTGACGGTTTCCATCCTGAAGGTGTTAAAGCGTTTTCAGCACCATCTGGATTCGATGAAGAAGTCACAGTTTCAAAATTTAATGGGCCCTTTGGCGTATCGTCTGGACATTTTTCCAAACCTATAAATTCAAAAAGCAATAGTTTAAATTGGAATACAAGGAAAGTGAAGCCAAAGGATAATGCCAGTTTCCTTTCATTCTTCCTAAAAAAAACTCCTGTATACAGTCAGCCTCATATGATTAAAGATACAAGTCGGCAAAAAGAGCCGCACAGTTGGCTCCTATGGGAATGCCGATTGTTAGTTGAAATACACGTCTTCCAAACGTAACAATTATGTTGTCAATCAAGACATCAAACATCTCGATAATATCAGTTTCAGAGAATTGCTTGTTTGAATCAGAGTGATTCTTTTACAAAGTACGATTTATTCCTCCCTAAGTCAAGACACTTGTACCTATGTTGGCCTTTCTTTCTTATGAACAAAATAGGATCAACTCTTTTAATTTTCCTTTTAGTTTGGAATGGGAAATACTTGTGTAAAGTATAGAAAATCAAAATATCTTAATACTATTTGCAATACGAAATAGTCTTAGATTGTATGTTCTCTAACAGATCTTTAAACTTTTTTGAGCATCTGTATATGATTCACACCTACTCTAGAATAGGTAGTTTTACAATAAATTTGAAGCCTGGCTTTGGTTGCTGAATACATTGATGTTAATAATTTAGAAAGAGGTTTTGTGGAGTACTTGGAAGACCCAGTAATATAACGTTGTTTGTAAGGACACTTAATCAATTTAGGTATTTAATACAGTTAAGGAGATCACGTTCCGCATCTTTGGTTGAAATTCAAAAGAAACATACAAAAGACCCTATAATTATACAATACGTCCTCCTTGGTTAGTGTCGTTGGGGTAAATGTTGAGTTTTCAAGTGAAATGTCAATCCCTAGTTCATTTATCAAGCAGTTTATGTAATGTGATTTACACATAGAAACGATGTTCATTGGGGCTTTATCTGCAGGACAACAACGTATTTGTCATGTAAAACAACAACGATAATGAAATTCAGATTTTCTGACTTTAAAAAATACCTGCAGTTGTAGAAGCGGGTCCAGTGGTTACCGACGGTTGAGTTGTTTGAATCAAAGGTGGACTTGTTCCTGGTGCTCCAGCTTGAGTACCTGTAGTTGGGGTTGACGCTGTAGAAGGTGTTCCAGAGGTAATCACTGGAGACGATGTAGGTGTTGTGGCTGGTTGTCCTGTGGTCAGAGCTACAGAAAACATCACTGTCATCACAGGCTTAGTACATTTATTTTAACACATATATAACTGAATAAATTGTCAATATCATCTATACATTAAGATGTCGATTTTGTCCTCCACTAATGAAGCAAAAATATAATAATCAAGTAAAAGGGAACATATGGGATTGTTTTGCAGTGTTCAAATTCAAGATGACATGAAAGTTGTTTTGTTGGTCATATATATGAAAATAACAGAAAATCAATTGTGTCCGACTGAGCGCTTTTTTCAATAGGCTTTATCATGAACGGTCAAACCTCAACATATTCAATCCATGTCTACAAGCAATCACAAATTAAGACATAACATTGATAGTTATATTCAATAAAAAAGGATTTAAAGATAACATTGTTCATACTCTTTTGTCAATACATATGAATGAATATAATATGGCAAATATAAGATTATATGCATTTTAACATTCTATCGTTTTTTACGGAGCAGTTTATCAAATCTAATGGTTAATTTGAATGTACAGTACAACAAAATTAGTTACCTTTGATACAAGCCTCCACGGTGACACTTTTTACAACCGGAGTTGCATTAGGTGTTTGGTCAGGTATTATTGTCAATGTTATCTTGTCAGCCAACTGAGGTTTGATAAATTCCAGTTCTGCGATGCCATTTGGTTGTGCCTGTTGAAATACATAGCCTTCTGAATGTATGAATGTGCCTATTATGGAGTACTATATTGCATTGTATAGTGTCATTTAATGGGTATCTTTACCTTAAATGGTGTTACCAATATACACAGTGCTAAGTATTGACAGACGACTATAGTCTTAATGCAACGTTTCATTACTAAAATATAATTGTAATCAAACACTAAATGTTCATGTCTTTACGAAAAGAATCATAATCCCCTAAACAACGACACTTCAGTACAATGTAACGTAATTTGTAAACATTCTTTGGTTATACTAGAATATCAGAACTGCTTTTCGTGCGTTTCGTAGTTAATAAATTGAAGTTGTCTTCTTTTTCATTAATATTACAATCAGATGATAATAATAAAATATCATACCTTGACTGTCTCCTCATAAACTAAAACGTTGTCATTATAAAGTTTGACATCAATGCTGTCGACAAATTGTGTTACTAGAGCAACATTCATTATCGGATTACTGTCACTTGTTGATAACTCTAAAACTGGCTTTTCGTCTTCAGCTGACGGTTTCCATCCTAAAGGTGTTAAAGCGTTTTCAGCACCATCTGGATTCGATGAAGAAGTCACAGTTTCAAATTTTAATGGGCCATTTGGCGTATCGTCCGGACATTTTCCCAAACCTGTAAATTCAAAAAGCAATAGTTTAAATTGGAATACAAGGAAAGTGAAGTCAAAGGATAATGACAGCTTCCTTTCATTCTTCCTAAGAAACTCCTGTATGAAGTTAACCTCATATTAATAAAGATACAAGTCGGCAAAAAGAGCCGCACAGTTGGTTCCTATGGGAATCCCGATTGTTAGTTGAAATACACGTCTTCCAAACGTAACAATTATGTTGTCAATCAAGACATCAAACATCTCGATAATATCAATTTCAGAGAATTGCTTATTTGATTCAGAGTATTTTTTTACAAAGTATGATTTGTTCCTATCTAAGACAAGACACTTGTACCTATGTTGGCCTTTCTTTCTTATGAAACAAAATATGATCAACTCTTTCAATTTGCCTTTTAGTTTGGAATGGGAAACACTTGTGTAAAGTATAGAAAATTAAGATATCTTAATACTATTTGCAAAACGAAATAGTCTTAGATTGTATGTTCTCTAACAGATCTTTAAACTTTTTTTAGCATCTGTATATGATTCACACCTACTTTAGAATATGTAGTTTTACAGTAAATTTGAAGCCCGGCTTTGGTTGCTGAATAAATTGATGTGAATAATTTAGATAGAGATTTTGTGGAGTACTTGGAAGACCCAGTAATATAACGTTATTTGTTAGGACACTTGAGCACGTTCCGCATCTTTGGTTGAAATTCAAAAGAAACATACAAAAGACCCTATAACTATACAGAACGTCCTCCTTGGTTAGTGTCGTTGGGGTAAATGTTGAGTTTTCAAGTGAAATGTCAATCCCTAGTTCATTTATCAAGCAGTTTATGTAATGTGATTTACACATAGAAATGATGTTCATTGGGGCTTTATCTGCAGGACAACAACGTATTTGTCATGTAAAACAACAACGATAATGAAATTCAGATTTTCTGACTTTAAAAAATACCTGCAGTTGTAGAAGCGGGTCCAGTGGTTACCGACGGTTGAGTTGTTTGAATCAAAGGTGGACTTGTTCCTGGTGCTCCAGCTTGAGTACCTGTAGTTGGGGTTGACGCTGTAGAAGGTGTTCCAGAGGTAATCACTGGAGACGATGTAGGTGTTGTGGCTGGTTGTCCTGTGGTCAGAGCTACAGAAAACATCACTGTCATCACAGGCTTAGTACATTTATTTTAACACATATATAACTGAATAAATTGTCAATATCATCTATACATTAAGATGTCGATTTTGTCCTCCTCTAATGAAGCAAAAATATAATAATCAAGTAAAAGGGAACATATGGGATTGTTTTGCAGTGTTCAAATTCAAGATGACATGAAAGTTGTTTTGTTGGTCATATATATGAAAATAACAGAAAATCAATTGTGTCCGACCGAGCGCTTTTTTCAATAGCCTTTATCATGAACGGTCAAACCTCAACATATTCAATCCATGTCTACAAGCAATCACAAATTAAGACATAACATTGATAGTTATATTCAATAAAAAAGGATTTAAAGATAACATTGTTCATACTGTTTTGTCAATACATATGAATGAATATAATATGGCAAATATAAGATTATATGCATTTTAACATTCTATCGTTTTTTACGGAGCAGTTTATCAAATCTAATGGTTAATTTGAATGTACAGTACAACAAAATTAGTTACCTTTAATACAAGCCTCCACGGTGACACTTTTTACAACCGGAGTTGCATTAGGTGTTTGGTCAGGTATTATTGTCAATGTTACCTTGTCAGCCAACTGAGGTTTGATAAATTCCAGTTCTGCGATGCCATTTGGTTGTGCCTGTTGAAATACATAGCCTTCTGAATGTATGAATGTGCCTATTATGGAGTACTATATTGCATTGTATAGTGTCATTTAATGGGTATCTTTACCTTAAATGGTGTTACCAATATACACAGTGCTAAGTATTGACAGACGACTATAGTCTTAATGCAACGTTTCATTACTAAAATATAATTGTAATCAAACACTAAATGTTCATGTCTTTACGAAAAGAATCATAATCCCCTAAACAACGACACTTGAGTACAATGTAACGTAATTTGTAAACATTCTTTGGTTATACTAGAATATCAGAACTGCTTTTCGTGCGTTTCGTAGTTAATAAATTGAAGTTGTCTTCTTTTTCATTAATATTACAATCAGATGATAATAATAAAATATCATACCTTGACTGTCTCCTCATAAACTAAAACGTTGTCATTATAAAGTTTGACATCAATGCTGTCGACAAATTGTGTTACTAGAGCAACATTCATTATCGGATTACTGTCACTTGTTGATAACTCTAAAACTGGCTTTTCGTCTTCAGCTGACGGTTTCCATCCTAAAGGTATTAAAGCGTTTTCAGCACCATCTGGATTCGATGAAGAAGTCACAGTTTCAAATTTTAATGGGCCATTTGGCGTATCGTCCGGACATTTTCCCAAACCTGTAAATTCAAAAAGCAATGGTTTAAATTGGAATACAAGGAAAGTGAAGTCAAAGGATAATGACAGCTTCCTTTCATTCTTCCTAAGAAACTCCTGTATGAAGTTAACCTCATATCAATAAAGATACAAGTCGGCAAAAAGAGCCGCACAGTTGGTTCCTATGGGAATCCCGATTGTTAGTTGAAATACACGTCTTCCAAACGTAACAATTATGTTGTCAATCAAGACATCAAACATCTCGATAATATCAATTTCAGAGAATTGCTTATTTGATTCAGAGTATTTTTTTACAAAGTATGATTTGTTCCTATCTAAGACAAGACACTTGTACCTATGTTGGCCTTTCTTTCTTATGAAACAAAATATGATTAACTCTTTCAATTTGCCTTTTAGTTTGGAATGGGAAACACTTGTGTAAAGTATAGAAAATTAAGATATCTTAATACTATTTGCAAAACGAAATAGTCTTAGATTGTATGTTCTCTAACAGATCTTTAAACTTTTTTTAGCATCTGTATATGATTCACACCTACTTTAGAATATGTAGTTTTACAGTAAATTTGAAGCCCGGCTTTGGTTGCTGAATAAATTGATGTGAATAATTTAGATAGAGATTTTGTGGAGTACTTGGAAGACCCAGTAATATAACGTTATTTGTTAGGACACTTGAGCACGTTCCGCATCTTTGGTTGAAATTCAAAAGAAACATACAAAAGACCCTATAACTATACAGAACGTCCTCCTTGGTTAGTGTCGTTGGGGTAAATGTTGAGTTTTCAAGTGAAATGTCAATCCCTAGTTCATTTATCAAGCAGTTTATGTAATGTGATTTACACATAGAAATGATGTTCATTGGGGCTTTATCTGCAGGACAACAACGTATTTGTCATGTAAAACAACAACGATAATGAAATTCAGATTTTCTGACTTTAAAAAATACCTGCAGTTGTAGAAGCGGGTCCAGTGGTTACCGACGGTTGAGTTGTTTGAATCAAAGGTGGACTTGTTCCTGGTGCTCCAGCTTGAGTACCTGTAGTTGGGGTTGACGCTGTAGAAGGTGTTCCAGAGGTAATCACTGGAGACGATGTAGGTGTTGTGGCTGGTTGTCCTGTGGTCAGAGCTACAGAAAACATCACTGTCATCACAGGCTTAGTACATTTATTTTAACACATATATAACTGAATAAATTGTCAATATCATCTATACATTAAGATGTCGATTTTGTCCTCCACTAATGAAGCAAAAATATAATAATCAAATAAAAGGGAACATATGGGATTGTTTTGCAGTGTTCAAATTCAAGATGACATGAAAGTTGTTTTGTTGGTCATATATATGAAAATAACAGAAAATCAATTGTGTCCGACCGAGCGCTTTTTTCAATAGCCTTTATCATGAACGGTCAAACCTCAACATATTCAATCCATGTCTACAAGCAATCACAAATTAAGACATAACATTGATAGTTATATTCAATAAAAAAGGATTTAAAGATAACATTGTTCATACTGTTTTGTCAATACATATGAATGAATATAATATGGCAAATATAAGATTATATGCATTTTAACATTCTATCGTTTTTTACGGAGCAGTTTATCAAATCTAATGGTTAATTTGAATGTACAGTACAACAAAATTAGTTACCTTTAATACAAGCCTCCACGGTGACACTTTTTACAACCGGAGTTGCATTAGGTGTTTGGTCAGGTATTATTGTCAATGTTACCTTGTCAGCCAACTGAGGTTTGATAAATTCCAGTTCTGCGATGCCATTTGGTTGTGCCTGTTGAAATACATAGCCTTCTGAATGTATGAATGTGCCTATTATGGAGTACTATATTGCATTGTATAGTGTCATTTAATGGGTATCTTTACCTTAAATGGTGTTACCAATATACACAGTGCTAAGTATTGACAGACGACTATAGTCTTAATGCAACGTTTCATTACTAAAATAAAATTGTAATCAAACACTAAATGTTCATGTCTTTACGAAAAGAATCATAATCCCCTAAACAACGACACTTGAGTACAATGTAACGTAATTTGTAAACATTCTTTGGTTATACTAGAATATCAGAACTGCTTTTCGTGCGTTTCGTAGTTAATAAATTGAAGTTGTCTTCTTTTTCATTAATATTACAATCAGATGATAATAATAAAATATCATACCTTGACTGTCTCCTCATAAACTAAAACGTTGTCATTATAAAGTTTGACATCAATGCTGTCGACAAATTGTGTTACTAGAGCAACATTCATTATCGGATTACTGTCATTTGTTGATAACTCTAAAACTGGCTTTTCGTCTTCAGCTGACGGTTTCCATCCTAAAGGTATTAAAGCGTTTTCAGCACCATCTGGATTCGATGAAGAAGTCACAGTTTCAAATTTTAATGGGCCATTTGGCGTATCGTCCGGACATTTTCCCAAACCTGTAAATTCAAAAAGCAATGGTTTAAATTGGAATACAAGGAAAGTGAAGTCAAAGGATAATGACAGCTTCCTTTCATTCTTCCTAAGAAACTCCTGTATGAAGTTAACCTCATATCAATAAAGATACAAGTCGGCAAAAAGAGCCGCACAGTTGGTTCCTATGGGAATCCCGATTGTTAGTTGAAATACACGTCTTCCAAACGTAACAATTATGTTGTCAATCAAGACATCAAACATCTCGATAATATCAATTTCAGAGAATTGCTTATTTGATTCAGAGTATTTTTTTACAAAGTATGATTTGTTCCTATCTAAGACAAGACACTTGTACCTATGTTGGCCTTTCTTTCTTATGAAACAAAATATGATCAACTCTTTCAATTTGCCTTTTAGTTTGGAATGGGAAACACTTGTGTAAAGTATAGAAAATTAAGATATCTTAATACTATTTGCAAAACGAAATAGTCTTAGATTGTATGTTCTCTAACAGATCTTTAAACTTTTTTTTGCATCTGTATATGATTCACACCTACTCTAGAATAGGTAGTTTTACAATAAATTTGAAGCCTGGCTTCGGTTGCTGAATACATTGATGTTAATAATTTGGAAAGAGGTTTTGTGGAGTACTTGGAAGACCCAGTAATATAACGTTGTTTGTTAGGACACTTATTCAATTTAGGTATTTAATACAGTTAAGGAAGATCACGTTCCGCATCTTTGGTTGAAATTCAAAATTAACATACAAAAGACCCTATAATTATACAATACGTCCTCCTTGGTTAGTGTCGTTGGGGTAAATATTGAGTTTTCAAGTGAAATGTCAATCCCTAGTTCATTTACCAAGCAGTTTATGTAATGTGATTTACACATAAAAAGATGTTCATTGGGGTTTTATCTGCAGGACAACAACGTATTTGTCATGTAAAACAACAACGATAATGAATTTCAGATGTTCTGACTTTAAAAGTTACCTGCAGTTGTGGAAGCGGGTCCAGTGGTTACCGACGGTTGAGTTGTTTGAATCAAAGGTGGACTTGTTCCTGGTGCTCCAGCTTGAGTACCTGTAGTTGGGGTTGACGCTGTAGAAGGTGTTCCAGAGGTAATCACTGGAGACGATGTAGGTGTTGTGGCTGGTTGTCCTGTGGTCACAGCTATAGAAAACATCACTATCATCACAGGCTTAATACATTTATTTTAACACATATATAACTGAATAAAATTGTCAATATCTTCTATACATTAAGATGTCGATTTTGTTCTCCACTAATGAAGCAAAAAAATAATAATCAAGTAAAAGGGAACATATGGGATTGTTTTGCAATGTTCAAATTCAAGATGACATGAAAGTTGTTTTGTTGGTAATATATATGAAAATAACACAAAATCAATTTTGTCCGACCGAGCGCTTTTTTTAGTAGCCTTCATCATGAACGCTTAAACCTCAACATACTCAATCCATGTTTACAAGCAATCACAAATTAAGACAAAACATTGATAGGTATATTCTTATATATCAAGGATTCAAAGATAGAATTGTTCATACTCTTTTTTCAATACATATGAATGAATATAATATGGCAAATATAAGATTATATGCATTTTTATATATTGGTTATAATTTTATAATTTTGGTCCTTGGTGCTCTTCGGCTTTGTACTTGTTTTGGCTTTCAAGCTTTTTTCATCTGAGCGTCACTGGATGGTCTTGTGTGGACGAGACGCACGTCTGGTGTATTGAATTTTAAGCCTAGTACCTTTTGTTAGCTATTATTCGTGTGTTTCTTTGTCCTATATGTTCTCCCATTTATTTGTATTGTGGTCCTGTCATGTGATGTTGTCGTTTTGGTGTTGTGTTTGACGTTGCCATTAAAGCGGGATGTTTGGCATGCCACAAAGCCAGGTTCAACCCACCATTTATTTCTTAAAATGTACTGTACCAAGTCAGGAAAATGGCCATTGTTATGTTATAGTTCGTTTCTGTGTGTGTTACATTTTAATGTTGTGTTTTTGTTGTGTCGTTGTTCTTCTCTTATATTTAATGCGTTTCCCTCAGTTTTAGTTTGTAAGCCGGATTGGTTTTTATCTCTATCGATTTATGAGTTTCGAACAGCGGTATACTACTGTTGCCTTTATTTATCGGGTTTTACGGAGCAGTTTATTAAATCTAATTGTTAATTTGAATATACAGTACAACAAAAGTAGTTACCTTTAATACAAGCCTCCACGATGACACTTTTAACAACCGGAGTGGCATTAGGTGTTTGGTCAGGTATTATCGTCAATGTTATCTTGTCAGCCAACAGAGGTTTGATAAATTCCAGTTCTACGATGCCATTTGGTTGTGCCTGTTGAAATACATAGCCCTCTGAATGTATGAATGTGTCTATTATGGAGAAGTATATTGCATTGTATAGTGTCATTTCATGGGCATCTTTACCTTAAATGGTGTAACCAATATATACAGGGCTTAGTATTGATAGACGACTATAGTCTTAATGCAACGTTTTATTACTAAAAAATAATTGAAATCATAGACTAATGTTCATGTCTTTACGAAAAGAATCATAATCCCCTAAATATCGACACTTGAGTACAATGTAACGTAATTTGTAAACATTCTTTGGTAATACTAGAATTTCAGAACTGCTTTTCGTGCGTTTCGTAGTTAATAAATTGAAGTTGTCTTCTTTTTCATTAATATTACAATCAGATGATAATAATAAAATAGCATACCTTGACTGTCTCCTCATAAACTAAAACGTTGTCATTATAAAGTTTGACATCAATGCTGTCAGCAAATTGTGTTACTAGAGCAACATTCATTATCGGATTACTGTCACTTGTTGATAACTCTAAAACTGGCTTTTCGTCTTCAGCTGACGGTTTCCATCCTGAAGGTGTTAAAGCGTTTTCAGCACCATCTGGATTCGATGAAGAAGTCACAGTTTCAAAATTTAATGGGCCATTTGGCGTATCGTCTGGACATTTTTCCAAACCTATAAATTCAAAAAGCAATAATATAAATTGAAATACAAGGAAAGTGAAGTGAACGGATAATGCCAGCTTCCTTTTATTCTTTCTAAGAAACTCCTGTATGAAGTCGGCAAAAAGAGCCGCACAGATGGTTCCTATGGGAATGCCGATTGTCAGTTGAAAAACACGTTCTTCAAACGTAACAATTATGTTGTCAATCAAGACATCAAGCATCTTGATAATATCAGTTTCAGAGAATTGCTTGTTCGATTCAGAGTGGTTTTTTACAAAGTACGATTTATCCCTCCCTAAGATAAGACACTTGTATCTATGTTGGCCTTTCTTTCTTATGAAACAAAATAGGACCAACTCTTTCAATTTGCCTTTTAGTTTGGAATAGGAAATACTTGTGTAAAGTATAGAAAATTTAAATATCTTAATACTATTTGCAAGACGAAATAGTTATAGATTGTATGTACTCTAACAGATCTTTAAACTTTTCAGCATCTGTATATGATTCACACCTACTCTAGAATAGGTAGTTTTACTAAACATTTGAAGCCCGGCTTTGGTAGCTGAATAAATTGATGTTAATAATTTAGAATGAGGTTTCGTGGAGTACTTGGAAGACCCAGTTATATAACGTTGTTTGTAAGGACACTTGATCAATTAAGGTATCCAATACAGTAAAGGAAGAGCAAGTTCTACATCTTTGGTTGAAATTCAAAAGAAACATACAAAAGACCCTATAATTATACAGGACGTCCTCCTTGGTTAGTGTCGTTGGTGTAAATGTTGAGTTTCCAAATGAATTGTCAATCCCTAGTTCATTTATCAAGCAGTTTTTGCAATGTGATTTACACACAAAAACGATGTTGGTTGGGGCTTAATCAGCAGGGACAAGAACGTACTTGTAATGTTAAACAACAACGATAATGAATTTCAGATTTTCTATTTTTAGAAAATACCTGCAGTTGTAGAAGCGGGCCCAGTGGTTACCGACGGTTGAGTTGTTTGAATCAAAGGTGCACTTGTTCCTGGTGCTCCAGCTTGAGTACCTGTAGTTGGGGTTGACGCTGTAGAAAACAGAAAACATCACCATCATTACAAGATTAGTACATTTATTTTAACACATATATAACTGAATAAAATTGTCAATATCATCTATACATTAAGATGTCGATTTTGTCCTCTACTAATGACGCAAAAATACTATAGTCAAGTAAAAGGGAACATATGGGATTTTTTTGCAATGTTCAAATTCAAGATGACATGAAAGTTGTTTTGTTGGTAATATTGTGTGTGATTTGACATTTTTTATTAGATTCATTAGATTTGTCTTCCTTATAATTGAAGATCAAATATACTAGGTGAAGTTCGTTATTACGTACGCCTTTTGATAAACTTTTAATAGAAGATACTTACGTAGACATCCAAAAACTTCAAATCCAATTATAGGGTAGTCTTTCCAAGTTATTGGTTGTAATCGTATTGCATATCCTATAGTCATGTTGAAACTTAAAATGTCTGTTGTATTCACATCTGTGTTTGCTTTGAATGTCTGTCAACAAATAGAAAAGTTTTTTCTCATTCTTTTAATATCCTTTTTCACAAAAGAACAAAAGTTCAGATACAATTTTAAAATTCTTTATCATGTAATATATATGATTTCCTTTAAATTTTTAATTTCAGACATAAAAGACGTACGACCTGAATATTTAAGTTGTTTCGATTAAAACCCGTCAACTAGGCCACAATGCATCACAAAATTACAACGCTCATGACTGAATGTAATCCAAACCAACCTAAATGCAACAATAATGTCAGAAACAATCGATTTTTTTATAATGTCAGAAACAATCGATTTTTTTTATTTGAAAAAATAGAAAATATGTTTCATTTCTAATCAACCTGTGATAGTTTAGAGCATCAAAACAAAATCTATTTCAATCATTTCTTATAGATTTTTTTTCTCGTTTCACCAACATTTTAACAAAAAATTCAAATTTGGAAGATTTTTTGTTATTTTAATGACGTACTAAATAGTTTATTGAAGCATTTATTTGTCTGTCGTGTATCGATAAATAGAAGCGATGAGTAAAACGGTTTAAGTTCAAAATATGTTTTAAGTTGTCAACATTATGAGAAACTATATTGATTTTTACATGAAGCTGCATTTGTGAAAATGAACTTTGAATTTAATCGTTTTCGTGTGGAAGTTTGGAAAATTAAAATACTTACGCCGACCTCCTTCCAGCTATCATTATTATTTTTTTCTTTAAGGATTTCTACTCTAACATCTTTTACATATCCTGTTCTTTCATTAATCATTCCACCTTTTATTTCAATTTTTGTGAAGAAGCCAACTCGTTGAAAATCAACTTGGATAAATGATCCAATAAATTTTCCAGACTCGGGCAGCCATGGATTTTCAAGCCCTCCTTTCCCACTGTTTATCGTAAATGACGAGTAGGACACGGTTCCATCAATACTATCATCACTCATTCCAAGTGCTTTATCACACATTCCTTAAAATACCATATGATTATATTCAAAATAATTACGTCATCCCGATGATTTGATCGGGTTTCTTCGAGTGATTTCATCGCGATGTGTTATCGAGTGTCACGATGTTTTTTCGCAAGATCAAGAATATAAACAAACAGACCTTTTTTTCTAAGACGTAAAATAGATGCTGAAACTTAATATAAAAGATCATACAAGGTAAGTTAGTATTTGAGATAAAAGATATTAGCAACCCTGCATTAGTTTCTGTTATAAAAGTTTAATTTAACCTTACAGTGTTTTATTCCGAAATATATAATAAAGCCATTTTATAAACATATCAATGCAATGTTCAAACACTACTACTGTGAAGATGAGTCTTTTTTATACTTCGTCACACAGCAATTAATCACCATGATAGCTTCCTTTTCATCGGAATAAAGCTTATAAATTATTCATTTCATTGTTTAGTATATATGGGGGACTGGCCCAAGGCCTCTCTTAGCTGAATATTTGTTATTTAAAACGGACTATTTAAACCACTGCATTTAGGTAAAATACAAGGAAATGGTGCGTCGTTTGTGCTCAAAACATGTATACTATTCGGATTAAGATGAACAATCGTGAATAAAATTATCATACTTGCGAATACATGTAGCAGTAAGTCCATCTGATTGCATGTAATACCACTCGAAAAAACAATATAAAAGTTTATCTCTTTAACATTTAGTCTGGATCGACCTGTCTTATAATAATCTATATATATAGTTACCTGGTGATGGCGGTTCAGATGGGTTAGCTATGACCACATTTTCTAAAACAAAAGAAATAACAGAAATTGTCAGGATTTCATGTTCTGTGTTTAGTGCTCTTTTTTTATACAATTTTCATAACGTAGAATATTTCTCTAACAACAACATAAATTATTAAGTAGTATGTGTATATTTATCTTTGATGGAAACAAATATTTAGCAAACGTGTTAATTCCTTATTAATTTAAGAATGAGGCTCTGGAAAATATGTTTGCTGCTTTTGTTTCCATTTAGAATAAAAATACGAGAATAAAAACATGTAATTAAAAGTATACAAATAAAATGAAATATTAACATAAGAAACATGTTGTATATGATATTTAGTTTGTAAGGCTCTGGACAACATGTTTCTTAATTAATTTCCATTAATAACATAAGTTCCATGATATTTGTGTTAAATACTATACTTACTGATCATCGGCAGCAATATAAATATACTTACCATCCAAGCAGCTTTAATCAAATTCAAATGAAAAGACATGAAATTACTTTAGAGCAGCAATTGAGTATTAAATCATACTTACATTGCATAATGGACTTTGTAATACATACGTATCATATGTTTGCTTACAAATTATTGTGTTGTCGCTCGATTCCATTGTAGAATACACTTCCCACTGTAGAATACACTTCTCACTGTAGAATACACTTCCCACTGTAGAATACACTTCCCACTGTAGAATACACTTCCCACTGTAGAAAACGATTTACACAGCTGTGTTTTCTTGACAAGCTTGATGTCTCTTTTTTTCTGAACAAGTGCATTAGCAATTTCCATCGTAATATATATAGCAATCTTAAAAATATAAAAGTTCACAAAGATGATTATAAAAACTTACCTCAAATACAACATTATTCGACTTTACTTTTGTTAAACGATTGCTTCAGCATTTTCCTCTCATGAGTTGGAATCGCTAACGTCTATTTGACCATCAACTTCCATTTAAATATCGGAATACTACTCAACAACTGTGTTGACATACGATTCTTTACATGGTTAACGGGAAAAGCTGAAATATAAGATTTATATGGAAATACAAGTACTTACCCTCTGTGGATATAATGGTGGTCTGTAGATATGGTTTTTTCTTCTTTTTACCCCGAAACCTTCTTCTCCTTCAAAAACTGTGATCTCCAATTTCATTAAAACAATTAATCTGAAAATAAAATTCAATTGTCGCTAAATAACAACGCTTACCGTATACCCGTCTGGTGGTAATTAAGGTCATCCTGTACTTCTCAGCAACACGTTAGCTGAAAGTTTCAAACCTGATTGATCGACAGTTTTGTTCATTTTTCTTTTCTCACTATCTTAACAATAACATAATATACAAAGACAGTGACCAAGACCGACCATAAGATCAGTTTTGATCATCTTAATGATTTCCTTGTTGTTAATTATCTCCCTTGTTCAATAAGGCGATTGGTTATAAATCTTCTCGACAGTGTAAATCTCTTTGCAATGGTCGACGAGGTAAGGGATGCGAACAGCTGAAATAAAAGAGAGAATAATAATAGAATACTGTTAATAAAAATAATATTTTTGAGCCTTAAAAGTACATATATATTCAAGCAAGATATGAAGATTTCATCTTTGCTCAAAACCCATAAAACTTCATCAAACAGTTCAAACAGATGTAACGTTAGACTTGACGTTTCACATTGAATTAAGACCTCATATTGAAAACAATGGGTCATCGTACGATCTTCAACAATGAGCAAAATACATAACGTCAAGTAAGCTATTAAAGACATCGACATGACAAACAATGAAGTTATTCAAAAGAGACAACCAACGGCCTGATTAATGCTAAGAACAATTATCGAAAAGCAAAAAAGGTAGAAAGCAACCAGGACAAACACTGAATTACAAGCTCCTGACTTTGTACAGGCACATTGAATATGAAGCGGGGTTTTAAAAGGTTTGTGGGCACTTTTTTCAGTATGTAGACATGAGCTTGGTGAAGAAAAACACTCAGTTAAACATCTAATTTTGGACTACTAAATACGAGTGAATGTGTGTTCGTCGTATGAAAAAGTGTGTCAGGCCTTAATTTGATTATATAGCTATACTAACATGTATGTTTTGCTATTGAATTTTGAAAACTGTTAAACGCATTTTTGGATGAATAGAGGGACTCCTGTGTGTATTTTTAATCTGACAAAGCCAATGATACATTTGCTTGATGGTCTTTACTAACGTAAATGTAACCTGATATATCCTCCAATTTATCAGTTAGATATAGACATGCTGAAGTACTTCCCCTTACTTAATTTTCTATCTTTATCTTTTTCTTTCCTCCTTGCCTAAAGAAGTTAATAATAAAAAGAAAGAATATTAACAAATTTTTGGGCGCATCCTCATACATCACGATGGGGAAAAAAGACAGAGATCCATCAAAATATTTAACTTTATTCTTTGTACAAGTACTAAGAGAAAACAAATCACAAAATGGGTATGAACGAGTTGAGCAGTTCATGATCAGCTAGAATTTCTTCTCGACGAGATCACAGCAGGGAAATCTTCTGTATTTTGGGTATAAAAGGGGTAATAATTCCAAAATATAACAAACATCTTGTATTGCAGCTCATATGAACAAATATCCCAACAAATAAGAAGTTTTAACACTCGAAAATGTTGAAATAATAAGTTTGCAAATTTGAAAAGAACGGAAATTGAATATGAAGAAGTTGATTTGGAGTCTTCGGTTTAAAGGAGGATCGAGGACACATGTTTTTCAATATTCAGCACAATCAAGCTCCAAATACTTATGTAATCGTATTCTACCATTTGTTCAAAGCAAAGCAGTGAATCTGGTTTCTTTTTGTACATTGTCACTTACAAGAGAATACTTTATTCCATCAACTGTATATTATATAGATATAGGAAGATGTGGTATTTATGTACGTATATGACTATGAAATGAAATTGATGTATCAACTCAATTCAATTTCTGAAAAGTGGATTAATATACAAAATTATGTTGTACCTACTAAGTATAACTTATATGAGTTGATGCAGCCTATCATTAAAATGATATGCACCATTCTAGAACAATGCATTGTCTAAAGTCATTATTGTATCCATCATCATTCTAGAACCATGCCTTGTTTAAAGGCATTATTGTACCCAGCATCTTTCCAGAACAATAACTATATTATAGTAAAAGTGCCCATAACTATATTAGAGTAAAACTGTCAGAATACGTTCAAGGCTAGAACTAGAACTGTCCAAAACTGATCTAGGTTTGAACTATACATCACTTTTCTCCTCAGATTAAACAAAGCAGAAAAACATCTAAAAAAACACAGACCGGACGTGGCAGGGTATTTATACATCCCTATTAACAAAAAAGACACAAAGTAAAAATCTGAGAGTACTTGCAGTACCTGACAGCTAAGTTGTGTGAAAATGATAAAGAAGTTATCATCTTTTATATCTTACACAATCTATATATGATGAATGCGGACAAAAGTCAAACCATTTAAGCTCAACAAGCTGAAAAGGCCAAGAGATTGTTTCGATTAAACCGAAGAAAAGTATGTACATACTGCATGCAAATTTAATAATGAATTACATCTAAATCTGCTTCATTATAAATGATTAAGAAACTTAATCGGTAGCTTCTGCTTTTCAATATTATAAAACAAAACTAATAAAACGTGTATAGTATGATATACATCACTGAACAAATTAAAAACAATGATTATAATTAGTTGTGTTGATGTAAACCTTCTTACCTTCAGTTAATGAATGTTCAAAAACTTTTTTCAAGGAGCAGTTAGAAATGAACACTCGTAATATAAATCTTAATATATATTCAGACACTAACTGCACGTGGTAATGAAAAATAATATATATATATATATGCATAACGTTACATGATTGGTTAATTATTTATTCTGACTTTTGAATCTGTTGTTATTGTTGACTATCCAATCCCGTTTATGGAAATTCGTCATCTTCCCAAAGTATAAATTGAATTATACCATTTGAAAAGCTCACATTGTGTTAATTAAAATTCTTTTATGTACGAGTAATGGAAAATAGTTTTATCAACATATGTCGCTTCATCCATTTCAATTCGATGTTTTTCAAAAGAAAATGTTTTTCTAAGGAAAATGTGCTTTTCTGAGGAAAATATGTTTTTCTAAGGAAAATGTGTTTTTCTAAGGAAAATTTGTTTTTCATTATTTGGCATTAATTATCAGCATGCAGTACAAAACATTATTTGTATTTTTTTTTTATTATTTTTTTTTTTTTTTGTAAAAATCTGACTATAATGTAGTGACGGTTATCAATAATTTTCATGTTTAAAGATGAGGATATATATGTGTTATGATTGCAAATTATACAACTATACACCTAAGCGAAAAGGGTGTAAACTACAGACCACCTTAAAAATTAGGAAACCCAATACCTTTAGTAAGCTATTTGTACCCCCGGTTTTACAAAATGTGAAACGATCGTCCTTCGCGGAAATCTGATTCTAAAGTTATTTACTGCAACTCATATGAAGCATTCTTCTGTAATTAAAAACAAGGAAAACAATGCTAGATATACTTACTGAAACTGTGATGATGAATGTTCGCCTTGACAGCTTGAACGTTTTGGCAATATTCATCGGTTGCTCTGTTGGCACCATTTACGCCTCTTTAATAGCAGAATGTTCCTGTATTGTTATTAATCACATTTGATTTAATATCAAAACAATAAATCAAACAAAAAATGAACATCAGTGGTTGTCGTTTGTTGATGTGGTTCTTAAGTGTTTCTCGTTTCTCGTTTTTTATATAGATTAGACCGTTGGTTTACCTGTTTGAATTGTTTTACACAAGTCATTTTGGGGACCTTTATAGCTTGCTGTTCGGTTTGAGCCAAGGCTCCGTGTTAAAGACCGAACTTTGACCTATAATTGTTTACTTTTTAGTACATATTGTGACTTGGTATCGTCCGGGTTGATTCTTCGAAGAAAGAATGACATATCGTCCTGAAAGAAAATA